TCATCATGAGATTCTTGTTTGTTACCAGGTATTTCTTCTTTCCTTTTGGATTATGCGGGAAGATACACTTATGTTGTGAATTAAGTTAAATTCATAAAAATTTGAAATCAATTGATACCATCTCAAGAATTTGTTTTATAGAAATTTATTGACGAGTTCCTTTAAGCTATATATTTTTTTAAGAAAATAAAAAATAATTCTAAATACAAATATTAATTATGATATTATTAAAAAACATTTAATACTTTCTTTTAATAAGAAAGATTCTTTAGGGTTAGAAAAGAAATACTTGTGCGATAAGTGTTGGTGGGAGATTAGTTTCACATTACCTCCAATTTATTACATCATTTGTTTTAGTAAGGAGCTAGCTCTATGCTGGCATTCCAAAGAAAAGATGACCAGAGATGAATGAACGTAAAGAGGCACGTGAAGTATATATTATGACATATACCCATTATTATTTGTACTATTATAATTACCGTGGCACGTGTCTAGGTTTAAAAATCAACCGGTTGCGTCAAATCAAGTCTAATTTAGGCTTGACTTGATTTTAATTTTTTTTTTTTTCAAAGTTCAACTCAGTTCAAGATCTTTAATTGCTGAAAGCAGGGAAACAATATTATTGAGCATTTCTGACTGAATGAGTTATGTTCAAAATTATAACACAACACGATATTATTCTCAGTTAACAAATAATTAGTCAAACTCACTGAGATAATTATAGAGCTGTTTGGTTTATTTTTTTGCTTTTTGCTTTTAATAATATTTTCACTAATTATTACAAATTTATCACCTTTTTTGTTATTCATTTTTTCAATATTTTGTGAATATAGTAAAAATATTTTTGTTGAGCCTATTTGATTTTCATATTTACTATATTCATTTTTATAAAAAAAAAAACAGAAAATGATTTAGAAAACATGTTTTGTGGTTGTTTCTATTTTTCTTTTTTAAGAAATGGAGCTCATGTTTCCCGACATTCTGAAAATAAGAAAAACTTGTTCACAACATTTTCGTTGTTAAAAAAAAAAAAAAAAAAGTGGTGTCGCTTTTTAAAATCTCAAAGAAATTTCTGCTTTCATTTCACTCGTCTCCATCGTCCAACAATCCGACCTATTCCCAAGTCTCAATGGCCATTTTGCTCTTTGTTGTCTTTTATTTTTTCCTCATCAAACCTGGAAACAAGTGGATCATCACACCATGGTCCATCATGTGGTTGCATATGCATTTGGTGTCGCAAGAGATATATAGCTTAGTTTCTTTGGTGACGAAGGCCTATTTGTGAAGGAAAAAGAAAAAGAAAAAAATAGAAATACTATTTTTTGAAAATGAAAATAGTAAATAAGAAATGCTTATTGAAACAAAATACAACATTTTATTTTCAGAATTTTCTTCCCAAACTATACAAACAAAAAACATGGGGAGTCCAAATACACTATTTTCCTCATTTTGTAGAACGTCTTGTGAACATTCATATCAAGCAAATTATTTTTTTTTCTCTCTAATTAGTTATTGATTTAAAGGAATTTTTTTACTTTCTTTAATTTCTTTATCCAATGCTCAAATTTTTTCAATCATCATTAAGGATAGTGAGATATTTACAGATTTCAAAGCAATCATCTATGAATTAAAATAACTTATGGAATTTTACAAAACTAAAAGTTTCAAACGCTTGCATTTTTATATTTTAATTTTATTTTTAGTATCAATAAAATAACATCTTATCAATTAAACCAATGTTGTTTAAAATAATTTCTTTTATACTCCACTTGTATTAAATAATGTCCTTTTGACTTTACCCAAAAAAATGTCCATTTGATACTTGCTAATTATTAATTAAATAGAAATAAAGTAACTAATTTTTTTTAACGAGGCTTTTTTTTATTAAACTATAGTGGCGGGCTAGGGGTTTTGTTGATGATACGTTTCTAATCTATAGTTTTTGTAATAGGATTGGATGTAATTATAATCGTAATCAATATTTGATGAAATAATGGAACAGCCATCTGCGCCTATCTCCAGAGAAATAGACAATAGTCATTCACTCGCTTGGTAGGCACAAATTTCCTAAAAGAATACCATTCTTATTCTAAAGTTTATTTAACAAGTTTGTATGTAGTTCGTTTTCAAAAACTCAGTTCAACTGAATGAAAAAGGACCTTATTCTCACATTTGAAGGGTATATATCTCGATTGCAGCTTCCGTGGAAATGAAATAAACGCATCATTGAAAATGATCGAAGTTTATTGATTTGAACTATTTCATCCAAGAATCCTTCTTGAATCAGAAAAGTTTGAAATGTCGTCAAAATTGAGCTATATGTGATATGCATGAAGCAGAATATAATAAGATGTATATGAATAGATGGTTCGAAAAGAAAATCGTTAATGCGTTAGCGAGTACTCCTACACACACAAAAACAAAGGAGATTTCTAGTGACGGCAATAATTTCAACAATATCACTATATAGTCAAAGTTATACGATATTTTGTCCCTCTCCTTAGTTGTGGTATAGTATTATAATCTTGCCGACGAAATAAACGTACGGAAAAAGAATGGACAAGTTCTAGTAATCAAATTCATGTAAACATAACAAAAACGGGGGTTATCATTACAATATTATTAGCGATCCCTTGCTCTTTTTTGATCTATAAACACAAGGAAGAGCTAGAGACCAATAATGATGGAATAACACATGGTAGGGTAATAAACTTGCGTCATATGCCTACACTACACACAACTCAGACTCTGTTCCTTCAAATAATTTTCAAACTTCTAGTTTTTGCTTGGACCAAGGCCTGCCAAACACAATCTCTTAATAGCAGGCAAATCGCTTTTGATGCAAGAAAGTGACCAACTTTACCCCATAAAAGAGCAATTTTTTGCTCAGCCTAAAATTTGTTCATAATGACATATATTAACTATTTACAAAGACAAGAAATAGACACCCCCGCCTGTATGCACTATACAGCGTTTGTGGAAACTCCTAGACTCCAATTAGCTTACGATGTTTCTAATTTATGATTTCTACACTGTGCAAAATAAAGGTATGCATCACATACCATTTTAGATGTTTATATAATCCCCGTTATACGAGTACTTTTAATTTCTTAAAAAAGAAAATAAAGTACGCAAAAAAAATTCCATTATAAACTTGAAATAGTCACTTACTCGTAAATTAAGTATATGAAAAATAAACTGTTTTAAAATCTCTTCATTCTTCTTGTAGAACTTCACTTCTTTTATACGTTTTCCGGCTTTTATTTAAAGAATTATAATATAGTAAATATTAGACATAGTAATCCTTCTGATCAATAACAGATCCAATCCTCCGGGTCAAAAACAATTAATAAAACCCAGGGATTTGTTAACAAATAAAGGGGTTTGAACTTTTCATTCCACATAAGATGAATTTTTTTCTCGCAGACTAATGGGGAGAAGTGCTTTTCATTTTTCTTTTTTTAATTAAATAATGGGTCCCATTTCAAAAGTAAAGAATACCGAATAAAAAATATATTACATTAAAAATACAAGAAATACTTAATTTTTTCTTTTTAAGTAATTAAAAGTATTCAAGAAAGCATATTAAATATTATTTATTTTTAATATACTCTTTGACAAAAAAAAAAAATTTAAGATATTCCAATCGGTTCATCATTTTGTGACTAGTCCGATTTAGAATGAGTCCCAAAATTAAAATTTTAAATTCCTCCAAAACATAATACTGAACAAAATGATTATTGGAAATTGACTAATTACTTTCCTGATGATACTAATTAAGAAAATAAAGCTAGAAAGTATGAAATTAAAGGAAATATTTATTTCATTGAAAAAAAACATTTAATACATGTTTTTTTAAATAATTTAAAATATTTGATAAAATAATAAAGGATTTAATATTTTTGTTTTTGCTATAAAATTTTTTTCTACCACATTCATATAAAAGTGAATGAGTTACATTAATATTTTTTTTCTCTTTTTTGTAATGAGATTCACTTATTTTTATGTGTGTTTGTCAGACAAATATTTTCTACTGTACAAAATAGAAATATTTTTCCCAATAATAAGTACTCCTTAAAATAGTACTCTTTGATACTATAAAACAAAACACTTTAAAGTTATTATGCTTGTACACTTCCTTTTACATATTAATTTGATGAAATTAGTGTTCTATACGTTGAAATAATTTTATTTTTTATACACATAAAAATATATAGGGTCCATATTTTTTTTTTCCTCTCTTCTCTTCATATGACCTCTTATATTTTTATTTTTGATAAACTGACCTCTTATATTTTTATGTATGAAGCAGATAATTTTATGAGAAATACTTTTATTATGTTGTAGGAAAATAGTTATTTCATGTCGTAGAAATAAAATTACAAGTGGAACCCACAGGTAAGCTGAGAGAGAAAAAAGAGTGGGGGAACCCAACCCTTTTGGTGTGTGTAGAAAAATTATTTAATTCATGTAAAATGAGATAATCATCACCCTAATTTTATATCCTATATCATAAAAGATTAATCCCAAATTCGAAACCAAGGAAATAACTTCGAAGCTACAAATGCATGTATCTTGCAATTAACACACACACAAAAAAAAAAAAAAAAAAAAAAAACCGGATCTTGTAATAATAAATGGAGGGAAGGGAAATAGCTGCATTGAATTCACAGAGGAGTTTCAAAACAGAGCACAGGGTGTTTTACTTATTTGGGACATCATGTAGAGACATCAAAGTGCTGCAAAATTCACCCTTGTGTGCAAGAAATACATAAAGTAACGGAAAGAGAGAGAGTCTCACATGCTCATTTTTGTAGGGCTCTCTACCCAAAGGGATTCGAGCCTATTTTAGATAGATCGTAGGCACATTTCAAACTACGAAAGACAATTCAAAGTTCAAACCCCTAGTTGTGTGCTAGTCTCTGGTGTGGTGTTGTGAGGCTTCGCTTTTTTTCTATTCCCTTCGCTCCTAAAAAGTTGTTTAGGAGGGAAGGGAGGCAATGGAGGAGAACAAAATAATACCACAAAAGAAACACCATTTTGGAGCTTCCAAAATCCCCATACTTGTACAGCATTGTTGTCTTTTTCTCTTCATCTTCACCATCTTCACTACTTCCCAAGCTTTTGATTATGCTGATGCGCTTTCAAAGAGCCTCCTCTACTTTGAAGCACAACGCTCTGGGAGGTTACCTTACAATCAACGTGTCACTTGGCGCGACCATTCTGGCCTCACTGATGGCCTAGAACAAGGGGTTAGCCCCAAAATTCTCAATGCCCTCATGTTCGAACATATCAAAGTTCTTGTCTTTCACTTTCTTGGTATGGCAATTCATTAACATTCAAAACTAAAGCTTTTTTTTTTGGTCTCGTGCAGGTGGACTTGGTAGGAGGGTATTATGATGCAGGTGATCACGTGAAGTTTGGTCTACCAATGGCGTTCACCGTGACAATGCTCTCATGGGGTGCCATAGAGTATTGGGAAGAAATTGCAGATGCAGGTGAGCTAGAACACACTTTGGAGGCAATCAAATGGGGCACTGATTACTTCATCAAAGCTCACACTAGCCCAAATGTGTTATGGGCAGAGGTACTTTATTCCAATTCATTGTTTTTCTGATGCTTTAATTAATTGGGTACATTGGTTGAAGAGATTCTTGAGAGTTCTAAAATTAAGGTGTTTTTTTTTTCAGGTGGGTGATGGTGACACTGACCATTATTGCTGGCAACGCCCAGAGGACATGACAACCTCACGGCGAGCTTTCAAGATAGATGAGAACAATCCTGGTTCAGATCTGGCTGGAGAAACTGCAGCGGCTATGGCAGCTGCTTCCATTGTGTTCAGGAAAACAAACCCACATTACTCAACCTTACTTCTACACCATGCCCAGCAGGTATTAGTAATTGTGCTTGTTTGATTGGTTTTGACAAAAGTACTTTTAATTAATAATTGTTGGAGCAACTTTTGTATGAAAACCTCAATTTCAAAAGCTAATAATTAGGTTGAGAAATTTGTGGAGGATGTAAGAAAGTTGGAGAATTATTATTGAGATCTAATGTATGTTGTGTTGTGTGTGTAGTTGTTTGAGTTCGGGGACAAGTATAGAGGAAATTACGATGCTAGTGTTGGAGTGGTGAAGAGCTACTATGCGTCGGTGAGTGGATACATGGATGAGCTGTTGTGGGCAGCCACGTGGTTGTATAAGGCCACCGACAAGGAAGAGTATTTTGAGTACGTCATTTCCAATGCTGACACCTTTGGTGGCACTGGTTGGTCCATTTCAGAGTTCAGCTGGGACGTTAAGTATGCTGGTATCCAAGTCATAGCCTCTACGGTAATGCTTCCTTCAATCACTCTATGTTCCTCAAGGCCATTAAAGTGTTCAAATATAATAGAGCTTAGTGTGTTCTCATTTTATTTGTTTTTCAAACCCTTTTGTTTGTTTTTTTTGTGTGAGTGGCTTATTTCTCTCGGGCTTTGCCTAGATTAATTTGGCTTTTCTAACGTGAAAATAATGGGTTAAATCTGAGACTTGATAAAAAGTCATCCATGGAGTATGCACTAATTAAGGCATATTGATATATTATCTATGGACATTAAAAGGTTAAAATTAAAGTGTATCCAAGCACAAGGCCATGTGCAGCTAGTGCTTTAGCTTTGCGTCACAGTGTAATTAAAGTTGTCTGGCTTATGGTTGGGCCAAATGTTGGAGACCTTAAGTACTGAAAGCCTTACTTTGTGCACCAACACCAGAGTTTTCTTTACTATTATTTTTTTCTTTCCCCTTATTAAACAAATTCATGGGGACTAAGCCCGAGAAAAGAAAAAGAACTATAAAGCAAAAACTCGGCGAGTAGCATTACATCTGCTGCAGTTTTATGTTTACCTCGTAGGAAAAAAATATGGATAAGTTAGATAGTGCAGCTATTTTAGATGCGTGCCATAAGTCCATTATACATCTTTCTCCATATGGCCCACAGGAGAATAAAATAATCATTTTAGGATGGACCTTTATGGAGTTAGTTTGGAGATAATAAAAAATAAAAAATTCTGTGATGATACACTTCCAAGTCAAGTTTTAACAGACAACTAGCGGGTTGAATAATAGTAACTTAAGGGGATAAAGAGTAGAAAATAAGTTGACTTGAACCGTAGAAATCAAGAAGTACAAACAAAAACTGGTCAAATTCCTCACTTGTCTGCTAGTTAGAGTAGAGTTGCAAGTATTTGCAATCTTACGACAGTTTAATCTTTTGCAGTTTTTAAACGAAGCAAAGCACAAGAAGCATGGTGATATACTTGAACAATATAGATCAAAAGCAGAGTACTATATATGTTCATGTCTCAACAAAAACAATGGCAGCAATGTAGAAAGAACCCCAGCTGGATTACTGTATGTCAGACAGTGGAACAACATGCAATACGTTTCAACAGCAGCGTTTATGCTCACATTATATTCTGAATATCTCCAAAACACAAATCAAAAGCTCAGCTGCCATGGGGGCACTGTGGATCATGAAGAAGTTTTCAGCTTTGCTAAATCACAGGTTGATTACATCTTGGGCTCTAACCCAATGAACATGAGCTACTTAGTGGGGTATGGTCCTAGCTACCCTAAAAGGGTACATCATAGAGGGGCATCCATTGTGTCATACAAAGAGAATAAAGGGTTCATAGGGTGTACACAAGGGTATGATAACTGGTACGGTAGCCAGGCACCTAATCCTAATGTTCTGATTGGGGCTTTGGTTGGAGGGCCTAATTGGCAAGACAATTTTGAGGATCAAAGGAACAACTTTATGCAGACCGAGGCTTGCACATATAATACTGCCCCCTTAGTTGGTGTTTTTGCAAAGATATTGCATATAGAGAACCAAAAATTGGAAGATGATTGTGATTCACTTTTGGTTGCTTCCTTTAAATAATATAGTGATCAATACAATAATGTTTTTCATAAGTCAATTTAACCCTTTTTTTCTTTTTCAGTTTTTTTTTTTTCTCTTCCATGATTGATTTATGATTTTCTGGCCGCAAATGTACTTTTCATCATAAACCAATATATGTTGCTGATGCTGTGGTGCCTGAGCACCTTTTAAACCTACCAGTTGCCTAGTTTGTTGCGGGAAATGCTTGCTGGAGAGTGGAGATGGGATAACTTACTTCATCTTCTTGAAGATTGGGTGTGTGGAGAAATTGCAAGTACAATGTCACCTTCGATGCATTTGGGGGACGATCGAGTAGCATGTATTAGAAATATAAATTAATTAAAATTGCTTCAATTACTTGTATACACGTACCTACTCATCTATGAACTTTGTAGTTTCAAGGTATTTCTTATACATGTAAATTGTGTGGGTGAAGTATGTTTTGATGAATTTATTTTAGTAATCAACTTTTCATATTGCTGGAAAATCACTCTTTATTCCCATAAAGACATCGAAAATGGGGATTGCGTTTATTTATTTAATTTTTTAGTGAGTCTAATTATGGTCTTCTATTTGTATGAAATTTGATTCTCGTCCGGCAACATGAGAGATTGATTATCTTTTAGTTTAGAGTATAATAAATGTCAACTAACTTTAAAAAGATATTTTGATTATAAGTGTTTATTTTTTTATTTCTAATTCATATACGTATTCAATTGAAGTATTTGTTTTCGATGATGAGCCCAATATATAACTTTGTTATAAGAAAAAACTAGTTGGTTAAATAATAGTAATTTGAGTTAAGGGAAAAATGGAAAATAAATTGAGTAGAATAATAGAAATCAAGAAGTAGCTCATTAGGGTAGAGTTGCAAGTATATACAATCTTAATGCACTTTCATCCGCCTCAAAATAAATGGCAGTAATGTGGAACGAACCCCAATTGATTTACTGTAGCGGAACACAAACTAAAAGCTTTGTCATGCATCATGAAGAAATTCCAAGTTTTGGTAAATCACAGGTTGATTACATTTTGGGCTCGAACCCAATGAATATAAGTTAATAGCGCACACCCATGGGCATATAATTGGTACAGCATCTAGGTACTTAACCTTCGGATTGGGGCTTTGGTTGGTGGGTCAAGAGAATGAAAAACTTTCGTAAAAAATGAGTTGGTATCTAATCAAAGTATATTTATTTTTAATAATGTAAAAACCTTAATTTGAATCTTAACAACAGTGGCGGAACCAGGAAAAAAATTTAGGTAGTGCTAAAAAATTTGACATATCAAATTATCAAAATATTTATGGTAATTATAAAAATTTATCAGGAAAAAAATTTATTATGAATTCTAGCATATTTATCTAAATTATTTACTAAATAATGTCACATAACATTGAAAATTTTATTATTATATATAAAAACAAACATGTAAAAATGTAATAATCTTTCCGATAAACATTTCAAATATAAGAATTTATAACAGTAATAGGTCCATGCTGTAATCAGCCATATATCAAATGGATTCAAATTTCTTTAATGAAAGTAGAGACAAAATGAAGTTGCTATGCTCTTCCTCAATCAGCTAAACCATATAGCTAATAATCATTTGTTAAAAACTTGCGCTCCAAAACTAACAAATTTTTGCTATGCATTAGGGAGGTTGATTGAGTTTCTTGCTGGGCGGCAGTTGGTGTTGGTTTCGAGAAAAAGAACAAGACTTAGGGCAATATGGAGGGAGGATATTTTGGTATACTGGTTGGAAAAGAGAAAAAAGAAAAAAAAACGCGGGGGGGGGGGGGGGGGGGGGGGGGGCGGGAGAGAGAATTGTGTAAAAGAAGATGTGGGTATAAAAATAAAAAATAAAAATATGTTTAAAAAAGTAAAATGACAAATGAGTGGTTAAAAAAATGAGGGAAAATATAAAAATTAAAAGTTGAAGATAAAAATATTACAATTTTGTTATATTTATTTAGATAGTGCCAAATTATAATTTCAGACATGGCCAAATCATAATTAATCATATAATTATATATATTTATATATAATAAGTGTTAGAAGTAACAACCATACATTTGCCAGAGAGAAAATGAAGGAAACGAAAACTGTATATTCATCATTCTAAGATTCTTTTGTACAAAAGGAATGCAAATAAAAAGGGTCAGAGTCATGCACACTTGCCTTATGACCTCACATATACAATTCTGTTATAACCATCCTAATGACATGGCAACTAACTAAAAGAATAAAATAAGAAAGAATGAAAACAAATAAAACAAATGTGGTATATTGTAATACTCCCCCTTAAGATGGGGAGTGTATGTTAATGATCTCCATCTTGGATAGAAGCTCAGAAAAATGCGATGGATGCAATGCCTTGGTAAGCAGATCTGCAAGTTGATTAGAGGAAGAAATATGGAATGTCTTCAAAGTGCCTCGAGCAATACAGTCCCTAACAAGGTGACAATCGATCTCTATGTGTTTTGTCCGCTCATGAAAAACAGGATTGGAAGCTATGTGAAGGGCTAACTGATTATCACAAAACATGTGGGCAGCATGAGGATGAGAAATTCCAAGATCTTTGAGTAACTGAAGTAACCAGAGAACTTCACAAGTAGCATTTGCCATGGACCTGTACTCAGCCTCTGCAGAGCTACGACAAACCGTTTGCTACTTCTTGGATTTCCAAGAAATCATAAAACTTCCAAAAAACAAGCAATAACCAGAAATGGAGCGCCTGCTATCAGGGCAAGAAGCCCAATCTGAATCACAAAAAACCTTTAACTGAGGAGTAGAAGTTGTTGGAAAAAATAAGCCTTGGCCAATAGTTGCCTTCACATATACAAGAATATGATGAACATCATTAAGATGAGGAACCCGAGGATTTGCCATGAATTGGCTAAGATGATTCACTACAAATGATAAATCGGGGCAAGTAATAGTCAGGTAAATAAGTCTGCCAATCAGCCTTCGAAAAACAGTAGGATCAGGTAATGGATCCCCATCATGTAATGACAATTTTGAATTAACCTCCATGTGAGTTGTTTTAGGCTTGCAGCCAGAAAGACCAGAATCATTGAGAATGCTGAGAGCATATTGGTGTTGGCAGAGAGATATGCCCTTTGAAGAACGAGCAACTTTCAAGCCAAAGAAATATTTTGTAGGACCAAGGTTTTTCAGCCTGAACTTGTTGTCCAATAGGGAAGTAAGGTGCTGCACTTCATAAGAAGAATTAGAAACCAGAAGAATATCATCTACATATATGAGTAATGCTGTAAAAACAGAGGCAGAGGTCTTGACAAACAAAGAATAATCAGCCTGTGACTGCTGGAAACCAAGAGAGACCAGAGTGGATGAGCACTTTGCAAACCATTGTCGAGAAGATTGTTTCAGCCCATATAATGATTTGTGCAAGTGGCAGACAACATTAGGAAGAGACTCCCCCTGACCATGATACCCAAGTGGCAAGTTCAAATAGACCTCTTCAAGGAGTTCACCATGTAAAAATCATTATTGACATCTAATTGAATTAGATGCCAATTAGTAAGGGCAGCAAGAGCAAGGATAACCCGCACTGAAGTTAACTTAGCCACAGGGGAAAAAGTGTCTGAAAAATCCACACCCTCTTGTTGTGTGAACCCCTTAGCAACTAAGCGAGCTTTGTACCTTTCCAAAGAACCATCTGAGTTATATTTTACCTTATAGACCCATTTACAGCCAACTGAATGTGTTTGCCATGAGGAAGAGATACTATTGTCCATGTTTTGTTTTTCTCCAATGCCAGCAATTCTATAAAATGTAGGGAAGGAAGAGGAGAAGAAGAGTTGGCAAAAGGGAAAACAGATTCTATAAAATGTACATCTCTAGAAATAAAGGTGCGGTTGGAGGCAAGGTCAAGTAATTTGTAGCCTTTGTAACCAGGTGGGTAGCCAAAAAAAACAGCAGGGGTAGCACGAGATGAAAATTTGTGTCTGAATTTAGGTATGGTGGATCCATAACAAAGGCAGCCAAAAGTCCTCAAGTGATCATAGGTAGGAACTTTGTGAGGCAGAATTTCAAAAGGAGTTTTATGTGAAAGCAAAGGGGATGAGGTTCTGTTTATTAGATAAACAGCTGTTAACACACAATCTTGCCAATATTCAAGTGAAATATTGGATTGAAAATGAAATGCGCGAGCAACATTGAGAATGTGCTGATGTTTGCGCTCCACCACAGAATTTTGCTGCGGTCTATCAACACAAGAATGATAAATTTTATACCTTTAGATAAAAAGAAATCAGATAGAAGAAACTCAGGAGCATTGTCACAACGAATTGCTTTAATTGCAATATTGTATTAAGTTAAAATAAGAGTATAAAAACTAGGAAAAACAACTCGAAAATCAGACTTGCATCTCAAGAAATAAGTCCAGGTAAAACGAGATGCATCATCAACTATAGTTAAAAAATATTTCGAACCTTCAACAGATATGGGATTAAAGGGACCCCAAAAATCACAATAAATAAGGGTGAAGGGAGTGGAAGATAGTTTGGGATTTAAAATGAAGGGTAATCTATTCTGTTTAGCTAAAGGACATACAGGACAAAAATGAGAAGCATCCAATTTATCAGTAGTAAGCAAAACATGTTTCATAGATTGTAAAATGGGAAAAGAGAGGTGTCCTAGACGAGCATGCCAAAGCTCAGTAGAAGAGCTATTTACAGCAAAACATAGGGATGGGGAAACATGATTTTGTGGAAATAAAAAACGAACATCAAGAACATATAAACCTCCACATCGGTTAGCAATCCCAATCGTCTTGGGTGTGGCAATGTCCTGTATAACACAACGGGAATCAGAAAAATTAGCAACAATAGATGAATTGAGAGTAAGAGCACCAATGGACAAAAGGTTAAAAGTGAATGATGGAACAAATAAAACATTACGAAGTATCAATGAAGGAGAGAGGGAAACAAATGTGGAACCAGCGACAAATACAGTTGAACCATTGGGAAAAGAAACGATAGATGCAGAAGAGGAAGGTGAGATGGAAGATGCAGAAAATAATCGAGGAGAATAGCACACATGATGGGTCGCACCAGTGTCAAGAACCCAACAGTAATCAGGGAACATGGGTGAAGACTTACCACTAAAGCTTGCTATGGATGGAGAAGCTTCAGAAAACGAAGGAGGAGAAGGATTGACTGGAGCAGCATGTCCGTGGTGGAGAAGCGAAGCCAGATGCACATATTGAGATTGTGTGATTCCAGCATTTGGGATTGGGGCAAGATTAAGGGTAAATGGACGAGGGACCAAAGGATTATGTGGAGACATGGGAGACATTGAAAAATTAGCATGAGATGAAGGAGGTTGGGCCGAATGGTTGGTAAAATTGGGCCTAGTGGACCTGGGCTAATAGCCAGGAGGAAACCCATGTAGGCGAAAGCACTTTTCACGACCATGACCTTCTTTGTTGCAGTGGGTACAAAATGGACGAGAAAGGCGATTGAAGAAGGCAGCTGTAGTTGGAGGACCGGAGTTAGAATCAGCGGAGGGGATGGGTGTGGGTAAGTTGGAAATGGAATTAAGAAGAGGTGTATCAGGGGGTTGGGGAAGGGTAATATTGATTTGCCTTTGTCGTTCCTCTTGAAGAACCAAGGAGAAAACACAAGCGATTGAGGGAAGAGGATCCATTAAAAGGATCTGAGCTCGTACTGAAGAAAACGAATCATTGAGACCCATTAGGAATTGGAGGGCATCGTGTTGTTGCTGCGAAAGGAAAAGTTGACGGAGACCACGACAAGTGCACGATGGTGTGGGTATGTAAGCTTGGAGTTCATCACAGAGAATCTTGAGCTTCGTATAATAGAAGTTCACATCACGAGAACCCTGATGAAGACAAGAAATCTTTGTTTCAGCGGGAAAATGTGTGGGCCATTTGCATGCTGAAATCGTGTTCGTAAATCGTCCCAAACTTCTGAAGCATTAGGGATATACACCAAGTTATCAGCAATAGCTTTGGAAACAGAGTTGAGAATCCAGGATATGACCATGGAGTTGCAGCGGTTCCATGCCGAAAAAAGAAGATCAGTGTTGGGAGGACGAGGAGCTGAGCCATCGACGAAACACGATTTGTTCTTCGCAGTAAGAGCGAGGACCATAGCGCGACTCCAAGGACTGTAATTAGCACCATCCAGTATATGGGTAAAGAGAACAAGGCCAGGGTGATCCTACCCTGTAGAAAATACGAACTAGAAACATACTCAATAGAAGAGGAACCAGAACCGGAGGATTGATCCGGAGAAGGCGGTGGTCGGTTGTTACCGCGAGCCATTATTGCACATCTGATACCATATTAGAAGTAACAACCATACATTTGCTAGAGAGAAAATGAAGGAAACGAAAACTGTATATTCATCATTCTAAGATTCTTTTGTACAAAAGGAATGCTAATAAAAAGGGTCAGAGTCATGCACACTTGCCTCATGACCTCACAAATACAATTCTGTTATAATCATCCTAATGACGTGGCAGTTAACTAAAAGAATAAAATAAGAAAGAATGAAAACCAATAAAACAAATGTGGTATAAAATTTTGAAACAAAGGTAGTGCCAAGGCACTACCAAGCAACAAGGTGGCTACGCCACTGCTTAACAAACTACAAATCTTAAATATTGACTTTCTTCGATCAGACGGTTATAATTATTGAGAATTAATAATTAATTAATAAATATGACCTAATAAATTATAACTGTTAGATTCAATAAATTATTGATTAAGATTTAATTTGACACTAGTGTCATGCCATAATTATATTATTCTTTAACTACCGAACATATTAAATTTCTAAAAAAGATTAATGGGATCGACATGTATATATCTTTAAAAATCAAGCTAATATTTTAGCATTTTAAAAAACTATTGCGTCCTTTATTTATTTTCGCAAAAATAAATTTGAGAGTATATCGTATAATTGTATATGCTACCAATGGCGGAGCTGGGGGTGGAGGCCGCCCCCCTCCAAAATTTTGAATAAATTTTTTTTAGTACAATTAGGTTTTTCTACTTTAATAAAAGAGGAGCTCACATTGAAGAACCGAAGGCAGAGAATATTAAAAATCGACAAGAAAAAGAGAAAATTCAAAGAAAGATGATCTTTTACAGGGATACTCTTTTGCAGCTAACAAGGAAAAAACAACTAACAAGAAAAAGGAGTAGTTTTACCGGAATTTTCGCCCCCTAGTATACATTCTTGGCTCCGCCCTATATACTACTCTCAACACATTAAATATCAAATTTAAATTACTTGTCTCCTTTTTTTTTAATTTAAATGACACCTCAATAAAAAAAAACTAACAAAATAAAAAATGTTACTACTTAAAAGAAAGAAAAATTGTTCTATTAAAGTATGAATATTTAATTGAAAGACAAGAATGAAGAGGAATAAAGAGGATAAATGATTTGATTCCTAAAGTATCTATCCATTTCAAACTCATCGAATACCTTTTTTCCATTGACGACATCAACAAAATTGGACATCACTCTCCTCCTATTGGTCCAATAGATGATTCGTGTCATCAATGTTTTCAAACTCGAGTTTCTATGTAGAAACAGAAAGAAGTGGTAGAAACGTAAAATGTAGAAACGACACGAAACGTAAAGTTTATACTTTCTAATACTTATGGTCAAGATACAAAATTATATATATGCATGTAAAAAAAATCACTTATCTATCTAAAAAGAAAATTTATTTTTGATAACCAAGTATCAAAATTATAAACAGTGATAACTAACAAGTAATAGATAACCAATCTGCTCTAACTGCTTTATACACTTTGCAGATTTTGGATCATCGTTCATCAGGATATAATTTCATTTTTTTCAATGCACACAATGATCCAAAAACACAAAACGATTCTCATAGCATAACTTATAATAGAATTGCAGCTTTATAAGACATAATTATAAAAGACATATATCCAAACAAAAAGATATTAAGATAATGTGCATATGATTCGAGGAAAACGAAAATTGGATTTTTTAAATTTCTTTTGTTGTAAATTTTTTTTTTAAATTTTGTTTTAAGTAAAAACGATAAAAACGTAAGTTTTTATCGCTTTTACGCGGCATTTTTATCAGTTTTTATCAAGACCGTTTTTACTTGCGTTTTAACACGCACCACTCTAGTAAAAACGTAAGTTTTTACATTTTTATACTAGTTTTTGACAACAATGCATGTGATATCAGGTTATGTGGAAAGATTTCAATCCTTGGAATACAAATCAACGGTAAAAATTTTTTCTCACACTTCATTTTCATGTATATTTTTTTTATTACTATTGATTTATATTTGAACAGTATCCGCAAAAGAGATTCATTCCAGTACTAAAAGATAAAAATATCACTTTAGAATTCTTTTTTTTTTTTTTTGATAACACACTTTAGAATTCTTTTACCGGAATGAATTGTCACTCTTATTGACTTTTAGATAAATGAGAAGTTGATATTTTTACTACTTAAATTTATCCAACAATTATAGTAATTACCCGCATTGAAAAGGTTGCTTCAATAATGGGTACAGTTTCTGCTTATTACTTAAAGGGTGTATCTGATGAAGATTGCTAAGCAAAGGGCTTTTATCCGTGGGGAAGAATGTGAGCAAAAGCTTATGCCAATTGGAAAAAGAGATTGTCAAGAGATGCAAGGGAAAGGTTATATTATATGTGGAAGAGAGTGAACTATGGAATGTGCTGAAGGTAATAATGGAATACTCCCAGCCTTAATAAGTTTCATTGGAGGAGGCCCAGTTAATTGGTTTTCAGAATTCAAATATTTGCGCGTGCTAAATTTAAGTGGCAGTGGGATTAAAAGGCTGCATGATTCAATTTCCTCCTTGATATCTTTAGGAACGTTTGTTAGCAGATAATTATTTTATTTTATCATTGAATCACAATTATTGGGAATATAGTGAAAAAATAAATTTTTTGAGAAAGTTAAAAAAAAATTATTTGGTAGACTGAAATATTACCTGAAAATTTGATTTAAGTTTCCTGAATCTATATTTGGTTGAAGTTAAAATATTGCTGAAAAAATGAATTGAAATTATGAAAGTAACCCTTGAAGGATATTTTTGTTCACATTTTCACACCCAAATTTTACACACAAATTTTCGTTCCTTTATATACAAAAAAAAAAAAAAAAAAATTTACACACAAATCATATTCTTATGTAAATAAGTTTCTTCGGCAAATTTTTTTAAAATTCCTACCAAATATGGTCTCCTTTGAATCTCATTCCCACTTTCCTAAGTAATAAAATAAAATCTCCTTACCAAACACTCCATTGAGTATCTACATCTCTCAAGCACCTTCATCGAGACATTAATTGCCAGATACTCTTTGTTACCATGCTAGTAAACTTCAAGTTTTAGACATGTCTGACTGCCATGAACTCATTGAACTTCCGATGGGTTATATTAATTATTCAATTTATGGCATTAGTTAATACATGGTTGTGATAAACTGTCTCACATGCTAGAACATATTGGACGGTTGGTGTAGCTTCAAACACTGCCAGCAGAGACTTGTATTATAGTTCAGCATATTCCGTTTGATCAAGAGAATAATATATTATGTGGAAAGTATTAGAATCTTTTTATTGGAATATTCTAGTGTACGCAGTTAATAACTCTGAGAATATTTGTTCATGTTCTTTGGCCTAAGTTTCGGATTTCATTGGCTTAGGTACTCGATACATGGGAGAAAGAGAATCATAATTGGCAAGCATCGCCAATATTTTATCCCCCTTTAACAAATGCATGTATGAATTTTCAATTATTATTTATTAATAATGATAATAATGAAATATATATATATATATATATATATATATATAATATTCAAAGATATAAAATTATATTATTTTAAGTGAGAAAAAGGCACACGTAATAAAAGTTATAAGAGAAAAAGTAAGTGATTTTTTTTTTAAAATTTAAAATTTAAATAAAAAAATTCTAGGTTTTGTTTTTCTGTCACTTAAAATAATATCCAAAAATTTATTAAAAAAACAATAGTTTACTTTATTATTTCCAAACTAATAATATTTTTACATAAAAGGAAAAATCTTCACAAGGACGCTTAATCTTCTTAAGATGATCTCTTGCAGCGAATCAGAAGCATTTGCCTTCGATAAAACTTGAAAGTAATAATGTTGTATGAATAATAAACTTTAAAATTGTTACATAAATTCTCTCTAATTTATATTTGGAAGGGTTTCAAAAAAGGGGGGGGGGGGGGGGGGGGGGGGATAAAGTATTATATAACCACCAAAAGTTTACTTTTATGTCAGCCATTGGTCTCAAATTCTGAAAAAGCTCCCTTTTTTACTTTTCCCTGAGAAAGAATTGGATTCAAAGTTGTGGTGATTGGGCAAATGGGTATCGATCGGCGGCGGCGGAGGTGGTGGTGCGTCGTCGTATTGATCGGAATTGTAGGCGTTGTGATGACCGTAAGTGCTTCGGAAAGTCACAAGAAGCAGGAACAACTGGTGACTCGAATTGCCTTCGGATCATGCTCCAACCAGAGCGCTCCTCAGGTTCCAATTTTTGTTTTCTATTTTATTTTTTTCTCTATTTTTCATTCATTTTTTGTTTTGTCCTGTTTTTGTTTTATTTTTACTCGTGTTGCAGTGTCGTGTATTGGAGCTGATATGTTAATGATTCTCTTTCTTTGTTTCAACCATGATGTCCCAATTCTTGTAACAACATGCTTTTTGCAATCCCAACGTTACTTCACTTTTAAGCAAACTGTAGTTCTGTACTCAATTTAAAAAAAAAAAAAAAAACTAATAATAACGCTGTAAAAAAATCTGTTTTATGGATAAGTAGTCTAATTTTTTTAAATAAATTTGATTAATTTTATGTAACAACCCAACTACCAACCACTATTTCTGTATATACTTTTGCTTAAATTGTAGAACCTGTTGTTTGTTCTTTCCTAAATTTATAGGTTGTGATGAAGATCTATAATATGATATAATGACTTTTAATTAAGAAAGAGGGACATGCACGTTCAACTCAGTTTAACCGACTTAAAAAAAAAATCAAAATTAATTATGTAGTAGACAAATTCAATTTCTAGTGTGTTTCACTCTTTTACCCCTTAACATTATTCATGTTGAAGTGAAACCGGACAGCTATTTTACATTTAGGTACTAGGTAGATATCACTGTATGGTCTAAGACATTAGTTTGCAGTATCTCTATGCCCTTTATAGTTGTTCGGTCCTAGAGAACTGTATAGTAATATTGTAAGGTATGTGTTCAGAAATACCCTATAGATAAATATCTTGGTTGGTTTGTAGCCCATATCCCAATCACTGCGCACAAGCAATAAGCTTATAGCCAAGATGTAGGTGTGTGCACAGTATGAACAGAAGTAGTAAAAATGAGTTCAGAGTGTGTACGTGGAGTCTTTAGCCTCTTATTTATAAGGTTTACCTTCATAGGCTTGGGTCTTTGAGATCTCTCAGTTGATATAAAATCTGCCTTGATTGATGAGGATAAGGATCTTATCCCTTGATCCTTTCTAGATTATATGGTTATGATATCCTTATCCAATCTTGCTAGTAATAGGGATGTTAGGATATGGATCCAGTCCATAACAATAGTATTTCTTAATCAAGCTATCCAAATTGTATTACATCTACAATTAAATTCAAGAAATCACAGAGCTAGAGCTACAGGTTAAATAAGAGGAGCTAAGCTTGGATTTATGTTTGATTTCAGTTTGGGTTTGCAATCTTAAATGAGGGTTAATATATATGTGTATGCCTTTTCTTGTGTTACTTTGCCAGCCTATTTGGGATGCAATAGTAGACTTCCGTCCCCAAATTTTTATATGGATGGGTGATAACATTTATGGAGACATCAAACGCCCTTTTAAACTATTTGGACGGGAAAGGACTATTGGGCCATGGAAGAATGTTCCTCGATTTGTTCCTTCCTCTGAGCAGGAAATGGAGGCTAAGTACAGAAAGGCCAAGTCTAATCCTGGTTATGCTCGACTTAAAGAGAATGCTCAGGTGCTTCACTCTAAGCTTTTTATACTTATTTGCTAATTGAGATTCTCAATGAAAGCATAACATTGTTCAAATGTTTGTGGGTTGATTTACTAAAATGGTGATTGTGTTTGCTCAACTTCTTTAGCCTAACTTTTACATTTGGAATGTTATAGGTTATTGGTACATGGGATGATCATGATTATGGATTAAATGATGCAGGAAAAGAGTTTCATGGAAAAATCACCAACCAAAAGTTACTTCTTGATTTCTTGGATGAACCTCAAGATAGCCCACGGTGGGTGGATAATCTCCTTTGCTGCGTTATCATGTTGGGCTTATCCATATACTACATTTTGGGTTTATTTGATTTACGTTCTGTCCAAGGGAATTAATGTGTATTTATTGAATCCTTCTCTTGATCCTGGGAGGAGTCATCCAATATTATGGTCCATATGATTGTATTAACTGTGGCACCTCATTTTTCTTCAAGGAGAGTGAAACAAGTTTACATTTCTGTCTGATATATGTATTCACCCAATAACAGTTTTTGGTAGGCAGCAATTTAGATACTTACTTTTACTTCTTATTTCAGGCGGAAACAGGCCGGTGTGTATGCCTCGTATACATATGGTCCTGTCGGTAGAGATGTCAAGGTATTGACTGAAACCTTGTTTTTTCTTTTTTAAATAAATAAAAAATATCTACTTTGCTCTTTATTTAATTCATAAAACCCTTTCATGGTTATTGTGCTGTGGTAGCCACTACATGGTCATCTTAAATGTCTTGTGACTTTAAACTATAAAGAACTCACTCTGTTATTGTCAATAATAAAACTAGAGAGTTGCTTTTAAATGGTGTTTTAACTTTTTAAGCATACATCTTGTACTAATGCCTGCTTTTATTGTGGATTTGGGAAAACTATTCAGATTGTCCTCTTAGATACCAGATACCACAGAGACCCAGTAGGAAGTGATGGAACCATTTTGGGGAATTCACAATGGTTATGGTTGGAGAGAGAGCTAAAGGGTCCATCAACAGCCATTACCATAATTGGATCTTCTATTCAGGTACAGGAATTATTTATCAATTGTTATAATCTCTGATAATAATCAGTATTTAAATTTTATTCTAGAAACAAAACATAAAATATATACAATACATCTGCGTCATAAGTTTTTGCCACGGTATAAACTGTTATGCTTGTACTCTCTCTCTCTCTCTCTCTAAATATATACAAAACATAAGTTTTTGACTGAAAAAGGTAAAAAGAAAGAGGTAGTTTTAATGACTCAGGAAGCGATTTTTTACATTTTAATAGCTTTTGTGGTTTTGTGATAGAGCCCTGTTACGTAAGGCCCAACTTCAACAAATCTACAGCAGAGACAAATATAGAAGAAGAGGACTCAATGCAAAAGAGCCCAATACGAAAGAGCCCAATACTAAGCAGTTGGAGGTTGAGCCAGTGGCAATAGAGGCCAAGGCAACGTTGTTAGAAAATGCTGAGTCTGCTGGAGGTTAGAAGAGAACGTGGGGGCAACAATTCAGTTAGCAAGGGATGGGTATTAGTAGAGTGAGGAGCAGGAAAGAGAGGCACCAAGGGGTCATATTGTCATGAGTGTTTTTGAGAGTCAGCAAGGGTTGCTCTTGTTATTTTCTTTCTTCTGTAATTTCTTTTCCTTCAAGCATTGATCCATAGCAGACTATGGAGAACCAGATGCATTTTCATTGGAACTGTTGTTATTTTGAGTTGATTAATACAAGAGTAATATTCAGTACAATTTTCTGTTAATTTACATCAGTTTATCAAAGATATACAGTACCATGTCTGTTAAGTTTACGTAAATTCGTATAAAGTGGTATCAAAGCTCCGACTGGGAGCTGGGTTATGGTAAGAACGTGTAACATGGAAGGAATGGAGGAAAGACTGAGACGAGGAGAACGGAACCAAGAAGAGTTAATGAGATGCATGGATGCTAATGATACCAATCAAGCGGAAATTATTCGCCAACTACGAGAACTAGGCGCAAGTATGGAGCAACTCCGTTCGGATGAGTTCCGCAACGGGGGAAGAAACGGTTCTGAAGCCGCTCATGGTAATCACCGAGGAGGAGGAAACATGGATCATCGGGTGAGGAAACTGGATGTACCAATTTTTTTCAAGTGAAAATGCGTATGCGTGGCTTAGCAAAGTGGAGCGGTATTTCCAGGTGAATGGAGTGGAGGAAGAAGACAAGGTGCCCACTGTGATGTTAGTATTAGAAGGTGAAGCACTGAATTGGTATCGTTGGTGGGAGCTGGATAAACCAACGGCGGCGTGGGGGCAATTCCGGCGTGAGGTGTTGTGCCGATTTCAACCGGAGCTCCTGGATAATCCGTATGGACCTCTGTACGCGTTGAAACAGACGAACTCGGTGCAAGTATTCAGAAACGAATTTGAGACGGTGGTAGGGACGATGCGCTACAGGGATGAGGAGATGTTGAAGGGGGCTTGGCTGAGTGGGCTCAAGCCTAGTATCCGTCAAGAAATTCTGATGACGCCTGGGCTCAGTTTGGCTTCTATGTTAAAAATGGCCCAACGAATTGACCAAAGGAATGCGGCCTGGATGGATGAAGGGGTGGGGTATTTTGGGCCTAAGGGTTTGAATGGCCCAGTTCGCAATAATGGACAAGTCAGTTACTCTAAGGGAAGTTTTATTAGAAATTCAGGCCCTCAAACATCAGCTCAGACCAATACGGGGGGGAACCCTAAACCTAGTGCCCTAACCGGTGGAGAGGCAGGCGCCGCGTCTCAGGGCAGCTCTGCGTCGATCCAGGGTTGTTTCCGGCGGATTTCTAACGCGGAGGCCGCGGACCGGCGAAAACGCGGCCTGTGTTTTCATTGTGAGGACCGGTGGACACCAGAGCATCGTTGCTCCTCTCGTCAACTTAACCTGTTGATCATGGACGATGGTGACGAAGATGAGGCGCACAACGTTGGCAAGGACTCCGAAATGGTCTTGGAGCCCGTCAAAGAACCAGATGAGTCACCGTTACAGCTCACGTTGCATAGTATGATGGGCCTCACCTCCAATCAATCGATGAAAGTGTGGGGGGAAGTCGAAGGAGAAAGGCTGGAGGTGCTTATTGACTGTGGGGCCACCAGCAACTTCGTGAAGGCTGAGGTTGTCCAGCGTCTTGGGCTAACGGTGGATGAGACTCCGTCGTTCAATGTTGTAGTTGGAGACGGACACAAGGTGGAATGCCGTGGTGTGTGTAGAGGGGTGAAGGTCAGAGTTCAGGAACATGATATCGTGCAGGATCTCTTTCTCTTCGCGCTAGGGGGTGCTGACATCGTCCTGGGGTTGGATTGGCTGAGGGAATTAGGGGAAATCAGAGCTAATTTTCGGGAAATGACACTTAGATTTGGGGAACCAGGGAAGGAGACGACCATCATGGGGGATCCCACCCTGTCCAGAACCCTTTCTTCTCTTAAGGCCATGACTAAGGCCCTCAAGCAAACTGGACAAGGTTATTATGTGGCTAAGGAGGACCAGAATATGGAAGAGACTCTCGAAGACAGCATTTTCCCTCAGGGGTGGAAGGAGTTGGGGAAGTTGTTGGAAGATTTTGGGGATTTGTTGCTCGGCCAAATGGAATTCCCCCTCAGAGGACCAGAGACCATGCAATTATCTTGAAACCAGGGAGTCAAGTGACCAATAGTCGTCCTTACAGGTACCCGTATTATCAAAAGTCTGAAATTGAAAAATTGATTGCTGAACTTTTAAGTGATGGGTTCATCAGGCCTAGTGTGAGCCCTTATTCAAGCCCTGTCATCCTGGTAAAGAAAAAAGACGGTAGTTGGAGAGTGTGTGTGGACTATAGGGCGTTGAACAAAATGACGGTGCCAGACAGGTTCCCAATTCCAGTGGTTGAGGAATTGCTCGATGAACTAGGGGGTTCTAAGCTGTTCAGCAAGCTGGACTTGAAATGCAGATATCATCAGATCAAGATGAGGGAGGAAGACATTCCCAAGACCGCATTCCGAACCCATGAGGGGCACTACGAGTACTTAGTGATGCCATTTGGCCTCACTAATGCTCCCTCAACCTTTAATGCGCTTATGAATGAGGTATTAAAACCCTTTTTACGGAAGTTTGTGTTGGTTTTTTTTTATGATATCTTAATTTACAGTGAGAACGCCTTGGAACATCTTGAGCATCTCAACTTGGTCTTTCTGGTTTTAAGGAAACATCAGCTGTTTGTGAACAAAAAAAAATGCAAACTGGGGCAGAGTCAAATTGAATACCTGGGACACTTCATTACTGCAGAGGGTGTGAGTGCTGATCCCAGCAAAATCATGGCCATGACCAAGTGGCCAAGCCCGAAGAATGTGAAGGAGTTGAGAGGCTTTCTGGGGCTCACGGGATACTATAGGAAATTCGGGATTATGGGAAAATTGCTCATCCCCTGACTCAACTACTCAAGAAAGATGGGTTTAAGTGGGATGAAACGTCAGAGGCAGCTTTTCAGATTTTAAAGAAAGCTATGACTATGGCGCCTGTATTGTCTTTGCCCGATTTTTCTAAACAGTTCACAGTTGTCACCGATGCCTCAGGGAAGGGTATAGGGGCAGTCCTAATGCAAGAGGGCCGACCATTAGCCTATCTGAGTCAAGGATTTTCCAATGCTGCTCTGTCTAAATCAGTGTATGAAAAGGAGTTGATGGCCATTGTCTTTGCGATGAAGAAATGGCGTCATTATTTACTGGGGCACCATTTTGTAGTCAAAACTGACCAAAAAAGTCTCAAGTTTCTGTTGGATCAATCTGTGTTAGGAGAGGAACAACAGAGGTGGACTTCCAAGTTATTGGGGTACGATTTTGAAATCCAGTATCAACCGGGCAAAGAAAATGTGGTGGCAGATGCCCTTTCGCGGACAATTTGGTACTCCCCTATCTCTCAAGTTCAGCTGCCTGAATTAGAGGAGGTGGACAGTGAAGTTCAGCGTGATCCCAAGCTGCGTGCAATGGTACAGGCGCTAGTGCTGCAATCCGATGCTTATGAAGGGTTTAAACTGGAAGGAGGTAGACTTTTTTACAAGGACAGGTTAGTGCTCTCTTCTTCCTCTAGATTTATTCCCTTGATCATGCATGAGTTCCATGACTCGAATGTGGGTGGGCATTCGGGTTTCTCTCGCACTTACAACAAGGTATTGGGCCTTGTATATTGGGAAGGAATGCGCAAGTTTATTCAACAGTATGTTAAGGAGTGCTCGGTATGCCAACAAAACAAGGTTCTGAATTTGTCTCCGGCGGGTCTTCTTCAACCGTTACCTATCCCCACACAAGTGTGGTCTGAAATCTCCATGGATTTTATCGGGGGGCTCCCTCGAGCGTTTGGAGTGGATACTATTTTTGTGGTAGTTGACCGGTTAACGAAGTACGCTCATTTTATGACTTTATCTCATCCTTATTCAGCAAAGCAGGTGGCTGAACTGTTCATTAAGGAAGTGGTGCGTTTACATGGTTTTCCATTGACCATAGTCTCGGATAGAGACAAGATTTTTTTGAGCAGATTTTGGTCCGAGTTATTCAAGGCTGCAGGGACCAAATTGCATTATAGTACGGCATATCATCCTCAGTCGAATGGCCAAACGGAGGTGGTCAATCGGGGTTTGGAGACTTATCTCCGTTGTTTTTGTGGGCCTAAACCGAGAAGCTGGCCTAGGTGGTTACATTGGGCTGAGTTCTGGTACAATACTACATACAAGGAATCAACGGGGATGACACCGCTCAAGGCCCTCTATGGAGCTGAACCCCCTCATTTGTTAAGAGTGGGGAACAGTTTTTTACGAATGGATGCGGTCTCATCATTGCTGGCTGAGAGAGAAGTCATACTTGAGGAGCTAAAGACATCTTTAGAAAAGGCCCAAAATCGTATGAAGGTTCAGGCGGATAAACACCGCAGGGATGTGCAGTTTGAAGTTGGAGATAGAGTGTATCTCAAGCTGCAACAATACCGGCTTAAGACTTTAGCAACCAGAATTAATGAAAAATTGAGCCCAAGGTTCTATGGGCCTTTCTTGGTAGAGGAAAAAATTGGGTCAGCTGCGTACAAATTATCTTTACCTACCGGGTGTAAAATTCACCCGGTTTTTCATGTTTCATTACTTAAGAAGGCTGACCCATTAGTGCAAAATCATCAGCCTTTACCTTCAGTTTTTTCTGCTGATTGGGAACTACAGGTTAAGCCTGTTGAGATTTTAGATTGGCGTCGGGATGCTCAGGGCCATGTTCAGGTTCTTGTCAAGTGGTTGGGGTTGCCTGACTTCGAAAACTCCTGGGAAAATTTTGTCACTTTGGATGCCCAGTTTCCAGAACTGCACCTTGAGGACAAGGTGCTCTTGTTGGGGGGGAGTATTGATAGAGCCCTGTTACGTAAGGCCCAACTTCAACAAGTCTACAGCAGAGACAAATATAGAAGAAGAGGACTCAATGCAAAAGAGCCCAATACGAAAGAGCCCAATACTAAGCAGTTGGAGGTTGAGCCAGTGGCAATAGAGGCCAAGGCAACGTTGTTAGAAAATGCTGAGTCTGCTGGAGGTTAGAAGAGAACGTGGGGGCAACAATTCAGTTAGCAAGGGATGGGTATTAGTAGAGTGAGGAGCAGGAAAGAGAGGCACCAAGGGGTCATATTGTCATGAGTGTTTTTGAGAGTCAGCAAGGGTTGCTCTTGTTATTTTCTTTCTTCTGTAATTTCTTTTCCTTCAAGCATTGATCCATAGCAGACTATGGAGAACCAGATGCATTGTCATTGGAACTGTTGTTATTTTGAGTTGATTAATACAAGAGTAATATTCAGTACAATTTTCTGTTAATTTACATCAGTTTATCAAAGATATACAGTACCATGTCTGTTAAGTTTACGTAAATTTGTATCATTTTGCTTCTGAAAATCATGATAGAATTCAGTTTTCTGCTTGAATTGTTGCATCTCAGAAAATTAAGATGTTTCTCTTCTTTACGTAGATAACATGAATTTTTTCTATATTCTATATTTTAATGTTATTCATCATGTTAGTGGTTCTGGTTATCTTAGCCGTCAGGCATATGCATGACTCAAACCTGAGAGTTTCCAATTATTCAATGTTTGATACAGTGAGAGGCAATCGGCAATATCTATATACTAAAAAAATTCGTAAGACTAAGTGGACAAATCAACAAAATAACGGGATAATAGTACAAATTATTTGTGTTATTACCACAAATTCTTGAAAGCTTGTGAGCTAAAACTGTCTTATGCATAGGTCCGTCTCTGGTTTGACTGTATTGTTTTTCTTTTTATACACATATTATGTTTAATTAATCTATGTATCAGGTTATATCAAATCTTTCAGCAACCACTCACCCATTATTCACTATGGAATCTTGGGGCCGTTTTCCAAAGGAAAGAGATCGTCTTTTCAAATTAATAGCAGATAATAAGGTAATAATTTTCAGTGCATTCATTTTCTATTTTGGTTTTCTGTGTTTTACATCTTTGTTGTTATAGGGAACTTCATCAATAATATTTACATAATGTTTGTGAGCCGATATTTATTTCGCATCTTATTAGTCCTTCCTGTGCAGAGGGGTGGAGTATTCTTCATAAGTGGAGATGTTCACTTCGGGGAAATCACAAGATATGATTGTGATTTGGACTACCCACTATATGATGTAACCTCAAGTGGGGTTACTCAATCAGTTGAGGGGGTTGTCCCGCCTTTCTTGCATTTTCTAGTGAGATTTGTGGCATGGTTGACCCCATCTACAATGAGAGTTAATGGCCAAAACTGCAGATACAGTACTTGTACATTTGGTAAAATTTTCCTCCTTTTTTTGGGTTAAGAATCTTGGTTTTCATGTTTTAATGATTCAAATTTGGGCTTGTTTTAGGCCAGCAAAACTTTGGAACTGTTGAAATAGATTGGGACTCTCATCCAGTGACTATGAAATTAGAAGTCAGGGACAAGAATGGTGTCGCTGTTACAGGTGTCAATATTTCAATAATGGATTTACAGCCATCAAATTCAGAGACTTGGGACAGAGTAAAAGCGGGACATAATCAGAAGCATTGTACTCTTGAAGTTAGTCTGCCATGGATTATAAGATATCGTCTGACTATCTTATTTTGTTTCACCTTAGTTGGTAAGTGCCTTCTAAGTTCTAATTGCTAGATATTTTTTCCAGAAAGAAGTTTCCATGGTAGCTTAGAAAGATAGTAGTAAATCCGAATTGAGGTCTAACTATATGTCGATTCACTAATCTTGGTTACTATCATTTGGTTTCAAGTTATGATATTTTCATTTTTTTTGCTGCAGTGTTGCTTCTTGCGTTCTTAGGGCTTGTTTATACCTCCATCTCAGTTTTTCGACTAGGAGGCTGCAAAAGAAAGCACGATTGATACACGTAGAGATACATACAGAGTCAGCAAAAGGGAGCATGTATTATCTCTTCTCCTTTGTAGATTTAACCTCAGTGATTATAGGTCAATAAGATGTATAGAGTATTCTTGCACTGTTTCCACTAATCAATCCTTTATCTCTAAGTACACTTAGAAGTTGATTTTTGGTATTGCTTGGGAAGTTTATTTAACGCTTGAGCCTTTTGATATGATGCATAGAATGTCATTGACATGTTACCATTATGTTATGGAATCCTTGTATTACTTTTGGTGCTGCTTCATTTGATTAATTTGTGAGTTAAGAGTCACAAATTTGTTGTGTTCGATTATCTTAAAGGCATTGATTTTCAAAATTGGTGTGATCTTTTAACACATCAAAAGATAGAAAAGAAAAGAGAATTTATAGATGGGTTTAATGACCTTTTTAAAGAGCAAAGAAAAACAAATTTTTCTTTTTTAAGAACTAAATTATATATTTAGTCTGTTTAAGTTGTGCAAGCCTCAAAACTCCTAATGTGAAGTCAACCTAAAGTCAACAAGAACTATAATATACAACTTCATCCTTCCATGCTCAAGGTCCGTTACCGGTTGCGTAATGCATTTTGTCGTCTACAGCAGGGAGTCTTTTCCCATTTGAGAGATTTTTGTGGTCAATGAATAGTTGACAGACCATTATTCGAAATATAAATTAGTTGTGATATAAAATTTTAAACATATAATGTAAGTTTTTATTAGCCTTTAGCTTCTGTCCTGTTGTTGAAGTCCAGATATCTTTTTACTGTCCAAAACAAATACATCAGTCCAAAACATGCATTTGTAAAAAATGGACAGTAGAAGAATACTTTATACATCGTCTACCAAAAAAAAAGAAAAGAAGAAAAAAATACTTTATACATCAGTCCAAAACAAAGAATACTTCAACATTTAATATTTTTATGATGAAGGATAATATTTTAAAGAGTACACTAAACTTAATCTAAATTAAAATTAAATGTCACTCTTTTTTTTTGGTAAGAAATGTCACTCTTTTTAGGTATTTATATTTAGGGTTTTACTTTTCTCATGTAGTATGAGAGTGAGATAAATAAAATGGGATCCACCAATTTAAAAAAAATGAAAAAGAAAAAAAAAAGACACATCTTCTTATGTGAGTGTAACAGAAGAGATAAATCTCATGTAACATAATACTATAATTTTCGTTGTATTTATCATTGAGATGGAAAAATCCCAAAGCGAAGCTTGTTTGACTCGCTTGCCAGTTGCCAGTTGCCACCCCATCCCATCCCCAGTCAATACGTTCAACGATGTTGGGTTCGGACCAGAGCATAAAAACACAGAAAGACGCGTTGAATTTTACACACACCTTCTCATCCATTCCTCAGTTGCACAAACCAAAAAGATAATAAAAAAGAAGAATTCACGTGATCCCATTAAAAGCTCTGTTGTTGCAGCTAAACACCCTTCACCCAGCAACCATCATCTTCATCTCTCATGATGGCCACAATCATGTGCTCCACTACCATTGTTCTCTTGTTGTTGAGTCTCGCCATCACAGAAACACAAGGTCAACAAGAGTACGTCAACAACAAGCAGCTAGATTGTGAAAACCAATACAACACAACCTACGGCAATGTCTGCAACAGCGTGAGTTCATGCCAATCATATCTCACATTCAAATCATCCTCTCCAAACTACAACACACCCTCTTCCATATCTTACCTCCTCAACGCCACACCCTCACTCATCGCTGAATCCAACAACATCACAGACGTTGACCTCATCCCCACCGACAACATGGTCGTCGTTCCGGTCAACTGCTCCTGTTCCGGTAATCTCTACCAACACAACGCGACCTACACCTTGAAGGTTCTGGGAGAAACCTACTTCACCATCGCCAACAACACCTACGAGGCTCTCACAACTTGTCAGGCCCTTCAGGCTCAGAATCCCGCCGGTGAACGGAACCTCACTGTTGGTCTCCAACTGCACGTGCCACTCAGGTGCGCTTGTCCAACGAAGAAACAGCTTGATGCTGGCTTCAAGTACTTGCTCACTTACCTTGTCTCTGAAGGCGAATCAATTTCTTCCATTGCTGACATCTTTGGTGTCGACGAACAAAGCATTTTGGATGCAAACGAGATTTCTTCTACTTCCGTTATTTTCTTCTTCACACCCATTTTGGTTCCTCTCAAACACGAGCCACCGACCAAGATACAAACAGCGGTGTCTCCAACGGAATCTCCGCCGCCGCCGCCAACAACAACAACTCCGGCAGGGAATGGAGGTTCAGGCTCTTCCACGAAATGGGTTGTTGTTGGAGTCACGGTTGGAGTTGCTTTGTCGCTTCTTGTGATTCTCCTTGTGTTTTTCCTCTGTTTCTATCGCCGCCGCCGAACACCGGCGGCGGCGGCGGAGGCCAAGCCTTTCTCGGCTTCTGCCACCAGCGAAGAAACCAAGAAGCTTTCGCATGCAACCCCAACAACTGAATCCTTCTCTCTTTCTTATGAAGGGATTCGCTATGCAATCGAGTCGTTGACCGTGTACAAGTTTGAGGACTTGCAGAAAGCCACCGGGTTCTTCGGTGAAGATAACAGGATAAAGGGTTCTGTTTATAGAGCTTCTTTCAAGGGTGATGCTGCTGCTGTCAAGGTTCTCAAAGGGGATGTCTCTGCTGAGATCAACATTCTAAAGAGGATCAACCACACCAACATTATAAGGTTGTCTGGTTTTTGTGTGCACAAAGGTGACACCTATCTTGTCTATGAGTTTGCTGAGAATGATTCTCTTGATGATTGGCTTCACGCTGAGAAGAAGTACCAGAATTCCAGGACTCTGAGTTGGATGCACAGAGTTCAGATTGCTCATGATGTGGCTGATGCACTCAATTACCTTCATAATTATACCAATCCTCCTCATGTTCATAAGAATTTGAAAAGTGGTAATATTCTTTTGGATGGCAATTTTAGAGCTAAAGTTTCAGATTTTGGATTAGCAAGAGCAGTGGAGGATCAAGGGTTCCAATTAACAAGGCATGTGGTGGGGACTCAAGGTTACATGCCACCTGAGTATATTGAGAATGGTGTGATTACTCCAAAGATGGATGTTTTTGCATTTGGGGTTGTGATTTTGGAGCTTCTTTCAGGAAGAGAAGCCACTGGTGGAGACAAGAATGGATCAGGGGAACAGATGCTGTCAGCATATGTGAGTCAGGTGCTGGAAGGAGACAATGTCAGAGACAAGCTTCGTGGTTTCATGGATCCAACTTTGAGGGATGAATACCCTTTGGATCTGGCTTACTCCATGGCAGAGATTGCCAAACACTGTGTTGCTCGTGACCTTAATTCACGACCAAACATTTCTGAGGTTTTCACAACTCTGTCCAAGATTCAATCCTCTACACTGGATTGGGATCCATCTGATGAGCTTGAACGGTCCAGATCTTATAGCCAAGTCTCTGATAGCAGATAGTTGATAAGATATAATTCGCCACAATAGCTTGGCATTATGGTGTTGGCCAATTGCTTCAGCTCCATGCCTCCATCGAATAAGAGTTTGTTTAATCTTTTATTATGTGGAATTTTCGTTCGCCTCTTTTGTATCACACGGATTGATGGTTACTATTACATATTGAAGTCCACACTTTACACTTACAAATTCTCGTATTCCTGAAAATGGCTACTTCAATTTTGTATTCTGTAACATAATTAGTGAGTTAATAAATGATATTGTTACATTTGTTACTGATATCAAAGTAGAACTTCCAGTGATATTGCCAACAGAAAATAATTCAAATAGGCCTATGCGTGAGGACTTCAACTTGGATGGCTTCACGCATGCCTTTTATATTTCTATTTCTTTTCGTGTAAAATCCCTTTAAAGGTAAAAACATGTGAAACTCTGGAACATGAGCTTGGGCAATTTAAAGGTTGCCAGTAAAAGGATCTGCATGCCTTCCACTTCATATTAATTCTTGTAGGATTGGGGTCGAACATGCTGTTTTCTGACTTGTGAAGCCTATTTGTTTACTGAGTAAAGAATTGACTTTCTTTTTTGTTTAATTATTAGTGAGCCTTTTGGTTCCAAATACATCCAATCTATGATGCCAGGCTTCTTGATATTATTACGTGTATGATAAGGTGACATTTGTTTTGTATTTAGTTTTTATTTGATAGGGTTTGACCTGAGCTACGTTTACAATTTTTTTAAATGTATAAATAAAAAAGACTATAAAAAAAAGTATAAATAAAAAAATAAAGCCGTCCATTTGAAGTTGTTTCTGTTTCATTTTCGCCGTTTCAATTCGTTCTTGTTTGGCGTCTGAGAGGAGAGTTCAAAGTTCAAACCCTTTGGTTTTGGCCGTCAATTGAGACTCAAGCAAATTAGCTTCTTGCTTTCTTTCATTACAAGGCATGGTGTACTTTGGTCTATGCAAAATTAAGTGAAAGTAACCCCTTTTTTTTTGTCATTTTTATATGACCAACAAACTTGATATGAACAAAGCTTAACGAATTTGATTTGTGCAAAGCTTATGATAGAGTTGAATCAACTTTATCTCCAAGTACGTGGATCAATTGATGGAGGTTGTTGCAGTTTAATTAGTGGTTTAAGAAGAATTTCTCTTGTTTGAAAGGGTATCTCTACAGTAATAAACGCTGTTTGAGCTATTGAATTTTAACCGCAGTCTTCTCTGAGCATATTATACATAAGTATGAGAAATCAAGTGGTCAACAAATTAAGGTGGAGAAGAAGTCCATTGTTTGCTTTGGTAAAAGTTTTAGATTTGGGTATCCCTTACTTAGTATTGGTTAATACTTAAGTCTTGGTCCTTCCCTTAAAGTTTAAACTGTTGACGGACCCAAGAATAATAGGTTCCAAATGCAAATGGTCAGGGCCAAGATGGAACAACGTTTAGTTGGATGGAGAAAATTTGCTTTATGCAACATGAAGACCGAATTCCCAAGGTGGAGAGTGTCACTGTCACGTGGTCAAAGTCACTCAATGGTTAACTTGACCAAGAAATCAAATAAATTATAAATTGTAGGGATTTATTATTCTTAAGTTACATAAGAAAAAATCTATCTCTGACACGTATAAATCTAATCTTTGGTTCTACTGTTGCACCAAAGATTTAGTGCATCTCACCAATAAAAATGTTACACGTCTGCTAAAGTTTTCTTTTCTCTGCCAAATTTTTTTTCTCTTCTATAATGTGTAATGCTCTCATTAGTGGGATGCACTGAATCTTGGTACAACAGTAGCACCAAAGATTTATTTCTCCTACACACACAAATTCAAGATGAGTCTCACTCTACTTTTTCTCTCTCTTCCTTTGAAAGTGAACTCCACTTATACAAATGAGTCAGTAGTAGGTAATTATTATCTACTACTACATCATCATAAAACTATTACCCTAAAATGTAACCAATCTCAAATTGATTAGTATGGCTCATGACTATCCTATTGATTTGCATGTTTTGAACCATCCACTTGCTATCCGCAACAAGATTATCTTTTGAGAACTCCGCTCATGTCTTCTTTCCCAGACTGATCGTGTGTTAGTTTTGGGCTTTTGCACCATATTTAATTGTGCCCAAAAAAGAAAAATAGCGATACAGTAAGTAATTCTTTCTGCTTGTGGGTTGGCACAAACACCATTGGAACAAGAGAAGCCCAACATAGTACTTTTATCTGTTTTAAAAGAAAATATTTTTTGTAGCAAGTGATCCAATAGGTGCTAACTTCAAGCAACGAAATGGACTGATAGCGTACAATTTTACAACAAACTAGGTCATTGAAGCAAAGTTTAACAAGACCGACACATGTAAGGGACAGACTCCTCTGAGGTTGATAAAGTCATGAGTGTTCAATTTCTATGATAAACATTTTGAGATCAGTGGTAAAAACAGTTACACTCCAAGCCACGAAGGGATTAGTCTCATCCGGGACGAGAATACTTAAATTTACTCAAAAAAAAAAAAAAATTGGTATAAGGTGGTGAAAGTATAAGTTAAAGTGGAAATAAAATGGCCTAGCTGAAATATACACATCTTGGCAAGCCATTATAACGCAAATTATGACAACAAAATTTTGACTATCTAATTTTTATTAGTAATAAAAGCAGTGCTACATATTTTAAAAAAAATGACAAAATTGAGTAGGTTAAAATTTTACGAAGATAAGTTAGTTGCATACGTAACCCCAAAATATTTTCCATTGCACATTTGTACACGTGGGTCGATTCATATAAACTGTATTAATGAATGTGAAAAGACAGTTTCTTATCATCTTTGTCTGATGTAGGAGCGAATTTGAAGTTGAATTGGGTCACGAAGTTAACTGAATGGGACTACAATTTCTGGCCATTTAGAGCAATATTGAAAATGACAAATGTAAGAGTAATTCTTAGGTACATGGTTAGTAGGAGTTAAATTCATGCAACAGCTTGGATTTAGGATGCGTTTAAATAATTTTTACAAAAATATATTTTTATGATATAATTTTTTTTTTGTCAGAAGCTATTTTTTTATTTTTTAAGAAAAGTAATATAATATTTTTTTTAAGGTTTACGTTTTTTTTTGGGTAAAACTTATCTAATTATTATAATTTTTAAACATGTTTTTTCTTAAAAATTATACAGATATAAGGTGATATATGACTATATGTGTAAGAGTGTGTGTTTAGCATTAGTCATAAATGTTTTGAGTAAAATATTTTTATGTGGAGAACATCTACTCACATGCATATTACGTTTTATCTGCATAGTTTTCACCTGCACTTTTGTTGATATGTTAGTTATAGAAAGTGACTGACGCGAATGGAAGTTTACAGTTATACAAATGCACTTTCCCAAAACGCATCAATTTCTTTCTTCTTCTTCTTTTTTTTCACGTAATTTCTTGCTTCCTTTAAAACCTCAACGGGTTGATATGACTGGAATTCAAAGGGATGACTGCCTGCAAAACACTTCAACGCTCAAGTAGATATTTATGATTAAGTATTGGATATATGTGCATCTAACAATCTTAAAATCTTAGGAAGCTTTTCAAGTTAAATCTCGTGATGGCCGAGAACATTTGTAGTAGTCCTGGCACACCTACTCCTTCCACTGAGGAGCTGCCACTTGTAGGGAAAAAAAACAAAATTTCTCTTTCTTTCACACAAGCAAGTCAAAATATACTTAATTTTCATTGGTTTGGACCACTGAATCATAGATGGGCACAGGGCATATTAAATATTTGCGTGATGGCCTATGTGCATCTAACAATCTTTGATTCTTTGGGCTGCATTGTAAGTCTAATCAGTACAACAAACCAAAGCTTTTCAATTAGAACTACAAAATTTAAAATTGCTCCTGCAATAAACAAAACCTGCCTAAATCTACCATATATATAGTGGTATATTGTCAGCCGTAGATTCTATGCACCTTCATTCAATTGTTCATCATGACCATTACTTCATCAAGGATAAGGGATAGAAAAACATGGATTTTGGAGATGCTTTTCTTTTTCCAATTGATCAGTATGACTGTGACTTCATGATGGTAAGTTAGGAGATAAATTAGGAATGCAAGTCCTATCACTTTCCAAGTCTTGTTATCGTTAGGCCCGTACGGCCTAAGCCACACAACTATAGCCTATATAACTCCAAAAAACATGCAACACAAAATTGCAGATTCAGCACTTGAGACCACTCATCACGACAACAAGTGGACCTATTGCAAGCTGCTTATGTGCATCTTCTTATCAAACTCTTTGCCAAGACATAGCTGTCTCTCTGCATTTCCACACACCACTTTGTATTTGGAGCTGAAACACATAGACATTATCAAACTCTCCGGAGTTATCCTTCCTACCAAAGATACAACATGGTATATTAACTCCATCTTCAAGATATCATGTGTAATTGTTCAAAGCTTAAACTATGTAAATGTCTAAATGGTTTGGCCTTTTTTGAAACCCCAATTTTATAGGTTCTGGCTGCAAGTAATGGCGAAACAGAAGGTGTAGAAGAAGTTGCTGGTGTGGATTTTAGAGGTCACCCTGCTGACAAGTCGAAAACAGGAGGATGGCTAGCAGCAGGACTCATCTTAGGTACTTCTCAATCCATTGAAATTTTGAGTCATATTTTCAAGGTTGAACTTAGAGGCTCTTATTTGGCTCCTACATATGAATACCTTTTTTTATGCAGGTACTGAACTAGCAGAAAGAATTGTTGTTATGGGAATATCCATGAACTTAGTGACCTACTTGGTTGGAAATTTGAATCTCCCTTCAGCTAAATCTGCCACCATAGTTACCAATGTTTTGGGAACTCTGAACCTGCTTGGCCTCCTTGGTGGCTTCTTAGCTGATGCCAAACTTGGCAGATACCTGACTGTTGCTATATTTGCAACCATAGCTGCTCTTGTAAGTTTAAAGCTTTGAATATATTGATACACAATTCTCTCATTTTTGGTTTACTAGCACATAGCAGCGACCAACTAGTTAGTTCTCTTGTCATTTCTTTTGCAACAGGGAGTGTGTTTGTTAACTGTGGCTACAACCGTATCTACCATGAGGCCCCCTCCATGCAATGATGTCAAAAGACAACACCATGAGTGCATTGAGGCCAGTGGAAAACAGTTGATTCTGCTATATGTAGCACTGTATACCATAGCTGTGGGTGGTGGAGGAATAAAATCTAATGTCTCAGGTTTTGGATCTGATCAGTTTGATATAACAGACCCCAAGGAGGAAAAGAAGATGATATTTTTCTTCAATAGGTTCTACTTCTTTATCAGTATTGGCTCCTTATTTTCTGTGGTGGTGCTGGTGTATGTGCAAGACAATATAGGAAGAGGGTGGGGATATGGAATTTCAGCAGGTACAATGTTGATTGCAGTTGCTGTGTTGCTTTGTGGTACGCCATTCTATAGATTCAAGAGGCCTCAAGGGAGCCCTTTAACAGTTATATGGGGAGTATTAGTTTTGGCTTGGAAGAAGAGGAGGCTTCCTTTCCCTTCACAACCCACCTTTCTCAATGGTTACCTTGAAGCCAAGGTCCCACATACTGAGAGGTTCAGGTAAACTATATTTCTCTTTAAGCATTGAATATGATTAATTTAACCATGATTTTATTTCTCTTCAATTATTGAACATCAATTACAAAGATTTTCTCTTCTTGTGGTCCTGATAGTGATGATTACTTTCACGGAATTTTTTGGTGACAAAAAGTGTTTTTATTGTTTTTTAATTTTTATTTTGTCTTTGTAGAAAAGGACAAATTTTACTTTTGATTGGTAAGCACACTATCAAAAAGCCATCAAAAGGGAATCTAAGAAAAAAAGAAGACAAACTTATTTGCACACCTGTATATATACACCAATTCTTCACACCTGCTTATAAGATAACAACTGAATCCAATTAGAATAATCTAAACTTCAACTAGATTCAGTCTGCACCCACTTCAATCTTCCAAGTTCGAATGGACCACCAATGGCTATATACAATTGTATATGCCTATGTACATATTCAAGAGCTAGCGATACAGGAAGCCCAACATTCCTGTGATGTATTTTGGCCAGAATGTTACTGTGAAATGGAAGTTAATTATTATCTGCGCATCATAACATTTTCTATTACGTTCCCCGCTATAACATAGTTTCGTCATTTCCTATAACATCATCTTGGTTCAACAAATGTCCATAGGCATGAATTGATTATTGGATGAAAACTCTAGCAACGATTTATAGTTTATAAGGTGTCATTCATATTCTACGAAAACAGTACACGAAAAAGAAATATTGTAGGAAATTAGGAGATTTAGTCTATTTTCATTCAAACCTAGCCGGCTAGACTTGAAATTAAATACCAAAGATTTCACATAAGCTAACAGGTATTTTCACTGCATGGCAATTTTTCTGGTAGGTTCCTTGACAAAGCTGCAATTCTAGATGAGAACTGCTCAAAGGATAGAGCATGGATGGTTTCCACAGTGACTGAGGTTGAGGAGGTTAAAATGGTAATCAAGCTCATTCCCATTTGGTCTACATGTATCCTCTTTTGGACAATCTATTCTCAAATGAATACCTTCACCATTGAGCAAGCTACATTCATGAACCGAAAAATTGGATCTATAGTTGTCCCATCAGGATCTCTATCAGCTTTTCTCTTCATTACCATTCTCCTCTTTACTTCCCTAAATGAGAAACTCACTGTGCCCTTAGCACGGAAACTCACCCACAATGTCCAAGGGCTCACAAGTCTTCAGAGAGTTGGAATTGGACTCATTTTTTCCATTGCTGCCATGGTGGTTTCTGCAATTGTTGAGAAAGAAAGGAGGCAGAATGCAGTCAAAAATCATACTACAATAAGTGCTTTTTGGCTGGTCCCTCAGTTTTTTCTAGTGGGAGCAGGGGAAGCATTTGCCTACGTTGGACAACTGGAATTTTTCATCAGGGAGTCACCAGAGAGGATGAAATCTATGAGCACTGGACTTTTCCTAACTACCCTTTCAATGGGTTACTTTATCAGTAGCTTATTGGTGTCAATCGTGGACAAAGTAAGTAAGAAAAGATGGCTCAGGAGCAATCTGAACAGCGGCAGGTTAGATTACTTCTATTGGCTGCTTGCAGTGCTGGGAGTACTGAATTTTGTACTTTTTCTTGTCTTAGCAATGAGGCATCAGTACAAAGTTCAGCACAACATAAAGCCTAATGACACTGCCGAAAAAGAGCTCGTGAGTGCAAAAGATGTGATAATTGGAGTTGATGGAAAGGAAGAAGCATAAGATATAATCTTCCAAAAGTTCTCATTTTATTTGGCACTATGTATAGTGTGGTGTGTAAGAACTAAATACTACGCCCCTGTTTGTTAATTTTGGGTGATTTGCAAAACATTCAATTTTAATGAAGTCAATTGTTACGTACTATAAGCATTGACAGATATATAAAACCCTAACTAAATTGCAAGTTTCGTTTCCAAAAGAAATAAGCATTAATAGGACAAATGATTCCCAGATTGAAGATATAAATAAAAGAAACCCTTGATAGCCTGGTTTCATAAGCAGATGCCTAAATTTGACTAATGTCATTAGGTGAAAAAACTACAACATTATGGATTCGAACTAAAACATGATCTTCAAAGCAAGAATTGATCCATTTGAGGCCAAAGCTTTTAACTTTGGCATTTGATAGTTTTAGTAGTAAGGATAATATCTTAAAGAACACCGCAGACTATTATAAAGAACCAGTAGCCGAAGGAGGTTGGTGATTTATGATCAATGGAGGACGTAGAGCTCGGTGTTCTTCCACCTTCTGTTTACGGGCCTTGTACATCTCCTCTGTCTCAACAACGACTAACCTCTTGACCTGTATGGATTACAAAGTTTACCAATGTTAGCATACAGAAAAATAAGTCATTTCAAGCAGAAAATGCACTTGTTTAGAGCTTGTGTTAAAACCTGTTGAAGCATTCCCCTAACTGTAGGTGTGTTCCATCGCATGACAGTTCGATTGCACTTGCGCAGGCGTAGTGCTTCCAGAGTGCGCCTATGGAGCCTCCTGGTCCCAGGAATGCCCCTCACCAGAGTTATATAGAGGTTGGGACTCCAATCAATTGGGACACAGGCCTTGTATGCCTTGAATGCATTCATGTCTTCAACTTGAAGTCAGAACAGCATTAAGATTAGTCCAGTTAATATTATTTTTCATTATATAACTAGATAGCCTAATTTTATAATTATGAATAAAAACAAATAGAGATAAATTCAAATAAAATTGAGAGGCAATCAGTTGAGATGGGAAAAGAATCAAAATGTATATACTTCATTCAACTGCATGCTCTAAATTACTTGATGCAAGCAGAACAGAAAATTTTAGGAACACAATTGGGTAAAACACTAGCTTCCATACTAGAACACATTGAAGAGACTGATTAAACAGTTACAAAGATATAATGAAATAAAAATGTGAAGGGCAGATTAGCAGCCATTTAGAAAACCTCCTTGCCTATAATAACAAAGAAACATGAACAGATAATAACATGAACAGATTAGCAGGCATTTAGAATACCTCATTGGTTATAATATAATAACATAGAAACCTGAACAGATAAATAATTTGGTAATCAAGGATTTTAGGTAAACTAACTTCACAACTCATAAACATAATATATCAGATAACTTATAAATAAATACCATAACATGGAAGAAAGGTCGCTACAACTCTTAAAAAGTAGAAAAATATCACCTAGTCAAATCAAAGAGCAAAACCAAAGCCCCAAGTTCTTATAGAGAGTCTATTTTTTTCTGTGTATCCTTTTTCGTTGCATTTCTATTACATACATTTAAAGAGACTAATGCATATCTAGTAGATAAGCTGTATGTCATAACACTGCAATATAAGACACATTTTAGCAAGGGCTTTATACCTCTAAGAAAAATAGTGACCTAGTACAAATGTCATTATAGAAATTGGGTGATATTAGTTTAAACTGTCAAGAAATATAAAACATTAGTTTATTTCCCAAAAGTTCAGACAGTCCATTCATCAAATAGGTTGTAGGCAAGTATGCATATGGATTAAATTCCTCAAAGTCCTTAAAACCCGCCCAACACAAGGCATCAACTATCGTTCAACATGATTAAGGGAGACTCAATCATCGATACAAACTAGAACATGATTACAGATTCAACCCAAATTCAAGATTGGAAGCAAAAACAAATATAAGAGGAAAAAGCAAAAATATACCCGCAAATAGCCATTGAAAGCAGAGTAAGAATAGCCGAGAAGAGAATGATTCAGATTCTTCCTTCACACGTGTAATGTGAGATTAATTATAATTAATTAGGTGGGGATCCTATGGTTTTGAATGTTAATAGCATCATATCAATAATAAAAAATGAGAAAAGGGGTTGTCGTGAGCTAAAACCTTGAGAAGCACAAAAGCACAAGCTTTGAAGTGTGAAGAACAACTGCCAATCGCTGATTAGAAGTAATCGGCGGGAAGAGAATGAGGACGCCGACGATAGGGTTGCAACTTGCAATTGGGTAAACACAGACTTGTCTTCAAAACTTGAAGCCCCCCCATCAAAACGCACAGTTTTGGGGCCGTAAAGAGTATTTTGTAAATTCTCTGATTTTGAATAAAGAATAATTTTTTTTTTATAGCCAGAATAAAAAATAAATTAAATCACATAAGTTTATGTTATTTTAAGTGAAATAAAAAATAAATTAAATGAAAAATAAGAACTGTTGAATTATATGTTGACTTTAGCATTCATTTTTTTTCCCTATACTTAAATTGGAAAAAACAATTTTACATATGCTGTATACACACAAGAGTATAAATATGAACATGTTTCACTATCTGATTCTATAACTAGTTTCATTTGGTGTTTTGTAACTTTGATAACTGTGATTTTAAAATATGTGGAACAGATATTTTCTAATTAAAGCACGGTGAGAACAGATGATTTCCATACTTTTATTAAATTATTTTTTTACTTTTTTTTCTCCAATGACACTTTTCTAATCACTCTTTCTTTATAAGTCCCATTTTTTTTATACTAACTTAAAGGGATACCTTCCATTCTATGTTCGTTGTCTCTTTGTGTGAGTCATATTAACGAGCATATCTTACAATGTTACATATACGAATGGGTGCTTCTTTATTAAAAATACGATTTTTTTAAAAAAATAATACAAAAGTGGACGGATACAATTTTTTTTTTGTCATGTAATTGGTTTCTACAAACGTTATAAAATTTGACCAAGAAATTAAAATTTTAAAAAAAACTCATTTGTTCTATCTTAATTATTCTAAAATTACTTTAAATAATTAATAAATAAAAATTACTTTAAATATGCACTACCTTCCTATACCTATAAACATTAGCTGGATAGATATTTTCACAAAGGATTTAATATATCTCATCTCGTGAGAAATAAATTTATTTCTTACATATATATATAAAAATATGTGAGACTCACGTGAGTTTATGTGAAGAGAAAATAAAATAAAAAATTAATTTTTTTATAATATGAAAAATATTAAACCCTTTCACAAAATAACGTAAATAGTATATGAGATTTATTATTTTTATGTTACATAAGAAAAAAACTTATCTCTTGCACACACAAATTCAAAATGGGTCCCACTTTACTTTTTTGCTCTCTTCCTTTGAAAGTGGATTCCACTTATACAAATGAGTCAGCATGAGATAATTATTATCTCCTACTACATAAGAAAATTATTACCCATATTATATTGACATTTTCTAAAAAATGTTAACTGAAATTGTAGATTTAAATGTTCGAGCACAATAATAATATAATATGGAAAGCACTCCTGTGATTATTAATTAGTACGAATATTAATAATTTTTTGAGACATGTCACATCGAAAATAGTGACACGTTTGAAAACTTAGAGATCATGTTCCAAAGCTAAACCAAAAAGTTAGGGAACTTCAGTGTTTTACAACTAATTAGTGCTCGATGCCCGTAATTTATATATCCTAGCTAAAATGTTAAAAAAAATTGTAGGAAATGGATCCTCTCATGTAAAAAAAAATGATCATGTGATCATGTTATTTAATCACAATCACTTATTTAAAAATTATACATTTTTCTTTATCTTATCTTACCATCAATGAATGATTGTGATCAAATAACATGATCACATGACCACCTTTTCACACGAGATGATCCTTTCCCAAAAATCTATGATGCACGAACACTAACACGGGACACGAAATATGCTAACACGTTAATTTTAAAAAATAACATATTTTGACATATTGGGACACATTTTGATATTAAATAATATTTTTAATATATATAATATAATTTGTATTTAATAGATATAACAGTTCATAATAAATCATATAACCAATCAAATATTCAAATTTCATAACATAAATATAAACAAAAATAATTTTTCGTACCATGTTAATTTTTTATGTCAAATTTCATAACAAAAAAAAATTAATTTATAAATAATTTTTTTTATTGTTAATTAATAAAATAAAAATAAGACTAAAAAAAAACCGTACCCAAATATTTACCACGTGTTAGAAAAACATGTCAAAAAATTAACCACGTGTCCCAAAATATTGACCGCATATTGAAGCGTGTCCGACCCGACCCGACCCGACACGCACAATTAACCAAAAAAAAAAAACAAGTCCGTGTTTCAGAGAAAAAAACTGACGGAGATATCCGGAAGTGTAATAAATAAGAGTAGTATGATTGTAGAATAATTAGTTAAGAGCTTTTGAATTACAAAAAAGAAAATAAGATATAAGATTCAATGCCAGAAATGATATTTTAGATTTGGGTAAAGTGTGTGTCATTTTAAAGGATGTAAAGTTATGTCATTTTAAGAGAGAGAAAGAGATAGATAAAAGAGAAGAGAGAGTTGACAAAAAAAAATAAAGGTGTGGGTCTCACTTCTCTGTGAGAATGAAAGAATATAAGTTGTGTCATTTAAAAGGATAAACACTTTTTCCTTTAGATTTTTATAATACTATAACTAGTTAATGCTTCCACTTAGAAAAGGGAAGTATATAGCACATTCATAACTTTCCGTAATGCTTCATATAAATGGTACAGATAATAGCATGATTACATTCAAGCTCACTCAAACAGATGCATTTCAGAGATATATAGCGTAGAATTTTCATCCTGCTTTCTACAACTTAAAGCAAAGCATGCATCAAGGAAATATAGCAGCCTCATGCATGACCTATGTTTACTTAAGAAATAGATAGGGTTTGGGATACAAGCTTTAGAATATTTTAGTAGAGGATTTGATTGGGTTAAAGAAGCATAGGCATGCCATCCATGGGAAATGGCTTGCACATAACATTTTCCATGTAATAGTTAGTTGCATCCATCACAGCAAATTGCATATCCTCAGAAGGCTTCCAATGGCGTTTTCTCTGATTGATGAACCAGTTGTTTATCTGCTTCAGATCTAGGCCTGTGGATTCAGCAAGTGCTTGCTTTTGGGATTCCTACATGTTCACCCCATCACATAAACCATAATTATCATAAGATTAGCCATATGATACAATAAACTAACCTTCTATAATTCACAATTACACATTTGGTATTCATCACATCTAGGTTGAAATTGCAAAAGCAATGTATATATATCTCAAAATTAAAATAAAAAATTATTAATAGAAGCAATAAACCATGCTCAAATGTTCTACATTAAGGAAAATATATAGGAATCAAGGTATTGGAAATGTGTACATTTATCAAGATATATCATGAGAAACATTGCAAAGTCATGATATATATATATGATTTATAAAGGATGTACAACTTAGTTACCGATGGGTAAGGCCATTTGTAATGCCTGTTCCACCAATCTAGTAGATGTTGTCTAGCTTCCTTTGGCAACTTTCCATTCTTTTTCTTCTTCAAAAACTCCTTCTTGAGGCTTCCAAGATAGCCACTATACTTGCGCAAAAGCTGGAGTTTTAGTTCCCGGTCTTCAGCTTGAGTATCTAGGTTGTTTTCATCCACATCAGCCTCATTCTGTGAAGATGATTCACTTTGGCCTTTCAAATTCCCACAACAAAATATAAGAACTATCAGTAAAAGCATTTCATACAAATAAATATCAGGGCAGAATATGTCAGCTCTGGTAATCATGTAGAATATTATTATTAGAATAATATGAAACTCAATAAGTAGCTACTATGAATAATGTATGAACCCAATGAAGCAATATTTATTTTCTTGAAGGGTCCAGCCAAGTAGAATCTAAAGACACTTGTTAAGGAACTAGAGAATAAAAAGTAATTAATAAAAAGTATAGCATTTAATACATTAGAAACTTTACAAACTTCACTTTTAATTTAATACTTAATTTTTAAAACTTTAACCAGTGCCCTATGTATTTGCCCTTCTTGAATTATCAAATGAATTACATTACCTAAGGAGTAAGGAATGACAAATACAAGTCCCAAGTAATTACATTAACAATTTCTTTATAACACACTAATTAAATATATCATTAAATTGGAGAAACTAGCAAAGAGACTTGCAACTTCCTTATAAGCATATAATTACTGAACCTTTGATATATCAATGCTTTTACATAATGCATCTAATCACTTATTAGATAATTTCATATCATAAACTGTTGTAACAAAAGGACTATGACAAAAAAAGGGAACAGATTGACAAGGAAACAGATGACAAAAGAAAATAAGACAAGCAGTTTCCTTTTTCTACCAAGTTCTTAAAGGACTGTGAAAAGAGAGTCTCTTGCATCTAAATGAAGCGAAGGAATTAAACAAATGAAAGAATGACTAATGCCTCGGAAGAGATGACAACACACTGGGTATATGCAAAAGAGTAGAGCAAAACTAAGGTCACATGAACAAAAAGAGAAATCCCTACAAATATTCAGAAAGCCATCAAGATTATCAATCGGTCACTTAATTAGGAAGCATTGAGGATCCGAATAAACTTGTCATCATTAGAATGATAAAGCAAAATCTCATTTTCTTGATTTCTTCTGAAGCAGAAATTTGGACTCATAATCATTTTCAAACTTTTTGACCTAGTTCAAACACCTTGGACCCATCTTCTTATTCACAATCTTACAAATGACTTTAAAGTTTTTTATAATCTAGTTCCTTTAAAACTCTAATCACACTATTTATGATGAGGAGGGTCATCTGACTGACTCTTTTAACTTATTCAAATAAATAAATAAATAAACAATCAGGGGTATCAAATCATTTTCATCATAGAAAACACACTTATCCAGTAGACGCAGGTGCCCTTTTCATTGGTATGAATTGAGTCATCAGTGGTGTGGTTATCATTTCTCTACCAATTTAATATTTAATTAATACCAATATTAAGCTTTGAAGAACATTGTTTCTGAAGATCTCTGAGCAGTAACGAGCAAGGTGATCCCTTCGATCAAGGCTATTGTTAGAGCTCTTATCATTAGAGATGTGTAGGAACAAATAATGATTTAATTGAGGGTAATCACCAAAGTCTGTTGAAACTGATAGAGCTTTAAGCTGACAGTCAATTCTTGAAAAGAAAAGCATGGCTTCTTTGAAGGGTTTTGTGATCTCTTGTTCATACTTGACTAGCATCTCACAATAGGCCTCCATGAACTGATCCAGTGCTGGATCTTCACCTAATGAACCTGTTCCTGTCCTACCTGATGCATTTAAGGCTTCACATTTTGCACATGATTCTTCTAAGCTAGCCACAACTTCAGGAGGTGCTCCAACCTGTGCAAGTACTCACTCCAGTCACACCATCAGAACAAGCAAAGCATGAAAATAAACTAAAATATAAAAGATTCTAGCTTTCCATTTCATTGATCTAACTCAAAAAAAAAAAAACCCATGAAAGAGAAATAAGCATGGTTTGAAGAATAGCTGAGTGTTATAGCTTACAACTTACAAGAGTGCATGATCGATCATACGGGAAGTTTCTCTTAAGAAGAAAGGTAAAGAGAAAGATATTACAGTTAGTCACCTTCAAGCAATTGATGTAAGAGGACAAGAGACGAGGAAAGAGAGGATGTGCCATGATTTTATCCCTCGCAGTGCAAGTGTTGGTGTGGTCATGGTGGCTATAGTTACGATCTTGAGCCATGTTCAAGGAAGAAACCCTTCGATCATTGTTGCTGAGAGGAAGAGAAAGAAACTTGCTATTAGTTTCAATGTTCATCATGTCCATGGAAGAAAGGCCACTGCAACTGTTCCCTCCAAACCCTATCATAGTTTCAAAGTTATGTTAACCCCAAAGGAAGCCCTATCATATAATGAATGCATTTTAGAGATATAATACTTAATAGGTGTTTGGGTTCACACAACTTCCGAGTCCCCACCTCACTGTTTCTCAAAAAGAGGAGTGCATATAATTGTGTAGAGAGTACTCCCGGAAATGAAGCTAAAAAATTTGAGTCTTTTTGTAGAAAATTCCAAAGAGCCTAAATGGATAGTCAGTCAGAACAATAGGGATTTTTGGGGTTCTTGGCCGGTAGTCTCTATAGACTGTAAAAGGTGGAATCAGATTCAGATTCAGATTCAGTCCTTCCTTGGAAATGTGTAGTCTACCTTCTTACTTCTGTACATCAACAGTTCCTTCTTAATCTCATTCTCAGTCTCTCACAACACATAAACACAAACACTCTCAGTGCTGTATGTTAATTGCAGGTGAAGACAGAGAGACTACACACAGGGTTAACGTGTGTCTCTGCAACTTAACTGAGAGTTTTCCTTCCCAATGAAAAGATGAATGAAACTCTCAATAACTCACCTCCTAGGTCTTTGCCCTACCACTGATCATGTGTACTGTTCATGCGTACTATATTGTTGCCTATCTCACCCTCTCAGATGGAAGAGTGAGAAAAAGCACTTCACCGATTGAAAATTTGAAACACAAAATCAATATTTATAATATTAATATTTAATTTGTTGATGCAGGAGGATTTTATAAAATATTATTATTTACATTAAATTTCAATTGTTAAATTTTATTTTTGCATTCCGAATGCCCAATATCAATGAAAAATGCTTTCATTTGGTCCCAAAAATCAATGATTAAAATTATTATAAGATTTTTTATTTTTATATCGATGTAAATGATCATATCCCATTTCATTATCTACTTATATATTTATTATCATATACTTATAGGTATAAATTTTTCTGGGATTATTTTGTTTTCATGACTTTTTATCTTGTAAGGTGAAATTAGTGGGTGTTTGATAGGGAAAATTGTAACATGCTCCAAGATCACGATAGTTCTCTCATTAAGGGAATGACACATATTTTTTCTTTATTTCCTTTCTCTCTTCTCTCTCCTCAATTTCTCTTTCACTCTCTCTCCTCCACTCCACCCAATAGAATTCCAAGAAAACTGAGGTTGGTAATCTTATTTATCTACATTTGATACGAAATTTCTAAAATTTAAATTTTCTAAAAAGATCATCTTAGAATACTGTTAGAGAATAATATAAATCATTAAAAAGTCTCTTACCCAATACCTTAAGGTTTTGGGTTGAAGTGGTTCTTAACATGGTATCATAGTTTGAGTGATTACAAGGTCACAAGTTCGATCCTCACTGCTTCCATTTTAAAGTGGAATTAAAATAAAAAGCACAAAAGGTAAACTAAAAATTGGGCATGTACAATATCCACACTTCAAGCCCATAGGGCTCTTGTGTGAAGGGATGTGTTAGAGAATAATATAAATTATTAAAGAGGCCCTCACCCAAGCGCTTGGGGCCTCTTTAATGATTTATATTATTCTCTAACACGCCCCCTCACACGAGAGCCAACTGGGCTTGAAGGGTGGATAATGCACAGGCTCACCTACCTGTGTTAAGAAAATTCCACGAGAGAAAGTGGGGGGCAGTGAGGATCAAACCCGGGACACGAGGCTCTGATACATGTAAAGAACCACTTCAACCCAAAACACCTTAAGGTGTTAGGTGAGAGTCTTTTTAATGATTTATATTATTCTCTAACACACCCCCTCACGCAAGAGCCCTTTTGTGCTTTTTATTTAATTTCACTTGAAAGTGGGGGGCAGTGAGGATCGAACTCGTGACCTTGTGGTCACTGAAGCTCTGGTACCATGTAAAGAACCAATTCAACACAAAAGCTTAAGCTCTTGGGTGATGGATGATTTATATTATTCTCTAACAAATACCATCCAGTGTTTTCATGGCAAGAAAAATTTAACACAATCAAACATAACATCAAGAAAATTAACTCGACATTTGCGGGATATTTTAGTCTACCAAACAATTTCTTGGTAATATTCTAGAAAAACTCATTTTGGCCAACTTAAAATTTTGGGTTGAAATAGTTCTTTTACATGATTTCAGAATCTCAGTGTCACGAATTCGATACTCATCACCGCCTTACTTTCTTATGTGTGCAAGTAAAATGTATATATATAACGTGTGTGTTTAAATAGCACATTAATTTAAACGTACACACTCTTAATGTGTATTATATTTATATTAAATTGATAAATAATTTATTAAAAAAATTAAACTTTTTTTTTCATTATATGGATCACGTATAAAGATTATACCATGTATTTATATAACTACGTACTGTTTACACATAAAATAAATAGTTCTATAAATTACTCGATAATTGAACTATTTAATATTTAACATTACATCAAAATATATACATTTATGACGAATTTGATGGCAAGCATTGGAAAACTGAGTGGCTTAGAATAGCGGAAGCAAAGTGCAAAACCAATGTTGGTGATGGGTAATCAATACTCTTTGCTTTGGTTTTGCAGAGGGCGTGATTGAAAGGAATCGAGCATCAACCGTCCATCCACACCCATCAACCATGTGATATTCGCTTGGTGTGATTTTGGGTCTTTATCTCTGTCTGTGTCTCTCACACACATACACACCACTTTTGCTTTATTTTACATGATGGTATTGGTATATATTAGCTAGCCACTAGGATGGTGGGTTAAACTTTAAAGAGAGCAACACGACACCGTTTTTTGTAAATTGGAATCCATGCAGAGACATAGATATGTCAGAGGGGTCATATCAATCTAATCAAATAGTGGGTTGGAAGAGGGAAAGAGAGCCAAACCCACATTATATAGATGTTGTCCTCTTTGTGGGACACTCCCAGCGTCGCTTCCTTTCACTCTCTTACCATTGCCTTTCTATTAACGTTACCCTACACGAATCATTGACTATTTGACGCATCGTGTTGGGGCATTTTTATTTTTATTTTTATTTTTCAAGAAAACAGTGTCATGTAATGATAGATATTTTTAAATACTTTCGAAAAGAAATTACTTGCACGAGATATTGTTACAAATTACAATCGAACACTTTAGGGTGAAAATATAAATTAAAGAAAAAAAAAAGGTGAAAGAGAACAGATTGTTTTCCCAGCTAATGTTTGATTAGAGAGATAAAAAAAAGAAAATAATTGAGAGGATCTAAACTTTTTAATTTTAGTTTTTATGATAAAATAATAAAGAAGCACTTAATTTAGGAATGTCAGTTGAATTTAGAGCTGCACCAATGCAGTTATTTTTCCAACTTTTAGAGGATCCGTATCAGAAAAGAATATGCGTTTTAAATAAAGTTGTAATTACATATATTAGTCATTCTTTATTTTATTTTATGTTATTTCGCTATGAATATGTCAATTAATAATTTAATTTGGTTGATTTCGGTATTTTTATTTTTATTTTCTTTTTCACTCCAAATGAGACAATATATTTATTAAAGCATATGCAAATAAAGTATGTACAAGTATTATTATTTAATTTTTATTCCCAATAATTCATCATTATTTATTGAAAAAGTCTATTGATTTTGCAAAAATAATTTGTTTTCTTGCCCTTCAAAAGGTGGGTGATTTGCTAGTTGATTTTGCCGGAATGCTTGCTCCACCAGTTTTGGCTACCATGGTGGAGGGTACACGTAAAGTCACGAGAATGCTTAAGTTAGTATACGAAATAAGGAAAAATATACTTTTACGGTGTAAGAGAAAAAAAAATTCTCCTGCGTATATATTAATTTTCGTGTTACTTTTTTATTTTAATTTTTTATAATAAATGAGTCCCACATATAATTATCTCTATTGCACGAGAGAGTTCTTTCCTATTGTATCAGATCAATAAAGCAAATAATAACAGTTTATACTGTAACAGCGGTGACGTTTTTGGCTTGGTGGGTGAACCAAGAAACACAGATACTATATGGGACATAAATGTTACAAAATGTAGTAAAAAATATTTAAGTATTCCTACAATGTTTAACACGAGTACGTAAACATCACAGATACTGCACGGTACCATAACTTATTTTCCCTTGTTATTGATATGGTGACAGTTGGAATTCTCTTATTTTCTCAGCCAAGCACTCAATGTCATGTGGTCCACAGAATCTCCTGAATCAACGGTGAATCCTTTCCTCAGGAATGTCATGATGTCAAAGTATAGGAAAAAATTGAATTCTATTCCAAGACATGCATGGATATTAAATTCTTTAGAACTTATTATTACTAATGTATGTAGGATTTACTGGTCGTATACATAAAGTAATTTGCACCTTTTCTCACTTATAATTAACATAATACTGTCATATTTTTAAGAAAAATAAAAAGATTCAAGATGCTGAGAATGTCAATGTGGAGAAGTTTTTTTATTGTATCAGTATTGGAGATAGTGTCAAGATGATGGCTATACGACCATATTGAATCATTTGTTAGATTAGTATTGTCTTGAATTATTTCCTTAACTAATTCAACAAGTCGCACACACAAGAGGTTTGGGATTGAATCCTCATATAAAAATAAAAAACTAAGTCAGTCTAGCACCTGAAAGATGCAAGACTAAATCCCTCGAACCGTTGACGGCCACCTCGGATCCTTCTTACACATTCTTATGCGCCACTTCCTTTTCTATGCGTGGTTGTCACGCGTCACCTTCCTCCGGTGTGTGCGGCAATTTTCGGCAGCCGTTCGTCGTCGACCAAGGACAGACAAGGTTGCCTAGCCATCCTCTATCCAGTCTTGCCTTCACCTCGTTCAACCGACATCGTCTGGGTTGCGGGTGTGTGATCTCATTTCGTTCTCCTCTTTTGAAATCAGAAGGGAGTTGTTGTTGTTCATTCCAGATCGGGTCAAATCGCGTCCACCATGGTTGTTATCGTTTTAGACCTGCTTATGTTCCTCTTCAAACGAATCACCACTTTCGGCAAGTTTTATGAC